GTGAATTTGAACTAAATGTTGTAGTGGATGTCATTGTCATTGGCTTTCTCATTGAAGGCAGAAATAAAACAAAAAACAAAAATTTGTTTTCATTTTCAAACTTCAGTATTAGAAGGGCATAGTTTGGGTATAATTTGTCAAAATATAAACTGTAAAGTTTATTTTATTTTTTTTACATTTTTTATATTTCTAAGTTAATATTTTTAAAGAATTACATATAGCCTCTTTAGATTCTGAGACGTTTGGTGGAATAATTTTAACCATTGACCACACTTTTTTGTAAATTGACAAAATGTGGCAAATAATAGTAATAATATATATATTTTTTTATACCTATCATGCAGTATCCACCTTCTCATTGTTATTTCCTATAAAATGAAAATGAACAGAACATCTGTTGTATACATCCACCATTTGAACAACAATTAGTACAGAGGCTCAATGATCTTGTGTATACTGGTGTTTAAGGCTGGTCCCTCTCATTTAATAGATTTATGTACTTTTTTTAACTGTAACTGACAGTCTTCTCATATATAGATTATATAGAACAGGAAAGGGGGTTTACTTTATTGGCCAGGCATTAAACTGGAATGAAAATGGGATGAAGCATTCATGAATCAGTTTATTTTGTTTCTGTTTTAACTAGGTCAATATACATGGAGTATGAAAAGGATGTGGAGGTCAGAGGCATCCCAGCTTACCGCTTTACACCTCCACGTTCTGTCTTAGCCAGTAAAGAGGAGAACCCAGCCAATGAGGGCTTCTGTGTCACCAAACAGGAGTGCCTGGGGACTGGCCTTCTTAAAGTCAGCCCCTGTCGTAAAGGTATGTCATGTGTATACTTCTCTGCATCATTTATTGAATACGCCCAAAATGTTCATCTCTTCTCTCCTTTGACTGATACCTTTGTTGCTATTACTTTTCACATTTGTAACTATAGTTTATCTATTAACAAACTGTATCAGTTACAATGGTAATATTTGGCAAACTCAAGGCCAGAATCAGGTGACCAGGCTTACCGCCCTTCAGTTACTGAGCTAGTCAAAGTCAGGTGGTGCCTGAAGAGTGTGAGCTGTGTCACATGGGCTATTTATAAAGAGTTAGATGGAAATTAGATCAGAAAAGGACTAGGAAAGGACATACTTTATAGTATTTGTTGAAAAAGATTTTTTATTTACATTAGTAACATACATTTTGTCAGTATTAAAATACATCTTTTTGTCTATGTGTGGTGACCAAAATCTGTATCCAGTCATTAAACCCGCTTCTCTCATAGGAAAAAAACTGGTCCCCACAACATAATTCCTTTATTTGTAGATCAACAACATGGTTTAAATTTAAGAAATTGGTTAAAATAGCTTAAGGTTAGGGTTTTGGTTAAAGTTAGACGGGTAGTCATTTTGGTTAAGGTTAGGATTAGTCAGAAAATGTATATATTTTTATGAATTTAGTCAAGCCAGTTTACATCTAACATGTAAACCTGACGTGTGTGTATGTGTGTGTGCGTTAGTATGCGTGTGTGTGCGCAAATGTGTGTGTGTGTGTGTGTGTGTGTGTGCGTGCACGCTTGTGCGTGTACGGTGACCTTGGAGGTTGTCATAGGAACAGTGTGTATGCTCAGGTGACAACAGGTGCTCGCTGTTTGTGTTGTGTCTGTTGCCAAACACAGGAGCAGGAAAGTGCTTACCTCTGCCCCACTTTATCATGGACCCACTATGACTTTGTCTGACCCTACTATCGTCATGTACTTGGTATATAGGTCATTTTCTGTTTTTGCAGCATAGTCAATTCTTTTTAGACTCACTTTTGTGTATCATAAGAAATGCAACATTAGACTTACATAATACATATATGTATATGTAAAAATTGTGTTTTCTCTTTTCTTAAACTGCTTGCACAGTCTATCTGTTGGGGAAGGTGAGTTATATCATCATCACTCTAACATCACCACTGTTTTAGTTAGGTGTCTTGTTTGATTATTTAACTTAATATGATTTTCTGTCTAGAGATATGTAGCATATTTTTATTTTTATTTCACAGGTGCCCCAGTGGTAGCTTCCTTTCCACATTTCTACTTATCTGATGAAAAATATGTGACAGCCATTGAAGGGATGTCTCCTGAAAGAATTCACCACCAAACGTTTCTTGACCTTAACCCGGTATGTCCCCAGAATAACTATGTGGGATAAAGATGTAACTACCCCATCTAGAGGTCATTGAATGCACAGCAGAACTGTTAAAGATTTAGGTTACTATTTATTATTATTAATAAATTGTTTTTTGCTTTCAGACAACGGGTGTAATAGTGCGTGCAAACAAGAGAGCACAGGTCAACATCTTAATTAACAGGATTGGCGGATTTCCGTAAGTGTTGGTATTTGAACAACTGTAATTTTACTCTAAATTACTTGTTTGTTCTTGATTTACAGAAAAACAAGAACTCTAAATGAAACAATAATACCTGTGATGTTCATTAATGAGGTAAACTTGAAATAAAATGTATTAACCAAAGTTTTTTATTATATATTATATTTATATATTTGTAAGTGCTTGTTTTATTTTTTCCTTCAATGCAGAGTGTGGTGATAGATGAGGCTTCTGCTGCAAGAGTGCACAAGTTACTTTTAATTGTCACTCTTGTGTCAAATTTTCCCCTGATTATTGTGGCTCTTGGAGCTATAATGCTTACTGTATTCATCCTCCTCCTTGTTCGTGCTCGTAGACAGAAGGTAAGTGACCAGAATAAATTTATAACTTTTTAAAATCGTGAGTTCAATGAAACTAGCTTTGCTCCTAATGGTTAATGTTTGTTTGGTTTCTCTGGCCTGCTCCTAATTTCTTTGCATGCATTCAACACCCTGTCTTTGTGCAGAATGGGGCTAATATATTGTTTACCAAGGCGCTTTATGCTGTAAGTGTAACTTTGCCTACTGCATGCTCTCATTAACAAGGTGTACATTGAAAGTAATATATGTAATCTTTTATCAAAGACAGTTTACCAAGATATTAATATTGACATTACATTTGAATACTATATATTAAATCTATTTTCACTTTCTTTTTCTTTAGGCTCCTTCTGAAGATGAAACATCATACAATCCTGTTAGTGGAAAAGAAAAGGAAGACCCGCAAAATGGAACCTACATCGGTTTGGCTCCCAAATTTGATGGACAAGCTTAATTTGTTTCATATCGTTAAGCTCTGTAGGGGGGTTCCATGTGGTTTCCATTCTCAAAGCACACGTAATTGTGTCAGTGGATATTTCGTACAGATTTCTTATGATTATGATTTTTAGATTGGATTATTATACACACTTTCTTAAGGCAATGTTAATGTTGGTCAAGTGCTGTTATGTTATACCAATCTATCAGGATTGTTTTAAAGTATTTACTAAAAAATGGACCACTATGACACATAATGTGAGTCATGTTAACTGTGAAATTTTAAATTATATGCCGCTGTCAGGGTGGCAGAGACTTTGCCTTACTTCTGTATATTATAATTCATCCAAAACTACCGTAAATACAGTATTATTTAGTTTCAAGAGCTACTGTTATTACTGTTGTTTTTATTTGTTTGCGCTGTATGAAGGTAGGCTAGTGCTTAATACCTGACAAGCCGTCAGGTGGCATATGTGTAAATATACAATTTTAAATAAAACGCAAAGAACTGTAGAACTGCTGACATTCCTGTCATTATAATCTGTTGGGAATGGTTATAACACTTTGTATTTCAGTTACTTACGTTTTGTAAAAAAATAAATCTGTAAATGTAATGGGTTAAGTTTTATATCTAGATCTTTCTTGTTTTCTAGAACTGTATTTCAGTACAAATGTGGTGCCAACAAATCAGGTTTAGAAAATCTCAAATATTGTTTTGCTGTTTAGATTTCACTGTAGAAGACTAAGAACGTAATACAATACTGGTTAAATCAGTGTGTTTTTCTTTAGTTATAAACTTTCAAATGTAACATTAAAAGGTCAGCATGAATATAGCCTTTGGCTACTGCACTACTGTGACAAGTCATTGATTGTTACTGTGATTGCCTGTTGTAGGTTTTTATTTTATTTCACACTGGCAGCATGTCACATTTTGTCAACCCAAATTATTCAATAAACAATAAAAGTATTTGTTCTGGATCTTGACTTTTGCTTTTAGGTGAGGTGCAAAAGGAGGAGTTCTGATCATTTTATACAAAATATAGTATTACATTATAGTAGTAAAATCTGAGTTAAAGGTGAATTCCAGGCAAATCAGTAACATCTGCATGGAAAACAGGCCGCAACAGCATGAAACAAGGTAAATGTGCACTGGAGTTATACTCTGTTTCAAAGACCATATGTGAACCTCAAAATATGCAAAACACATTTGTTATGGATTCCTGTAAATTATCTTTTAGCTGCATAGGGCAAGAAAAGATTGCTAAAAAAAAAAAAAAAAAAAAAACTAACCGTAAGGAGTATCCCAAAAAAAGTTGACAACTTCTGTGAGTTCATGTCTGTAGATGTGACATGTCAAATCTGAGCTCATTTGGACCAAACCCCGGGGACTTTAATCTTTTTGTAGACACCCAAGTCAAAACGGTGGCGAATCTTTGATCCAATATGGCCGACTTCCTGTTCGTCATAGGGGTGCACAATGGCTTTTTTGCTTGTCTCCTTGAGTTCTATCACTGTTCCGAATTTCGTGACCGTACGACAAAATATGCGACTCAGCCTCCCATTCATTTTAAAATGTGTATTTTCAAGGGGGCGCTGTTGAGTCGGGGGGCTTTGGGCATAGTCGTGATGCCCATTTTATCAAATTTTTTGCCGGACCGATCGATCTGATACCCGGTTTGGGGACTTTTCGTCGACGTTTAGGCCCTCAAAATTGAGATCCTTTGCAAGGAAAAAAAATAAAAATAAGAAGAAGAAGAAACCGACGAAGAACAATACTCCTCGCCCCTAACTTTGTTAGTGGCGAGGGCCAAAAACATGTTCATGAAGTAGTTTGAGCAGTAGGTGGCGTAAGAGCATCCTCGTGAAGAGAAGCGCTCAGCAATATGACAGAGGAAGTCACAGTACACACAGCACAGACATCATGGCGTTCAATTTTGGCGCTGCCTCGAGCAATCCAGCTACAAGTATGTTTTATTACCATTTGTTTTTATTAAATTATAACGCGTGGTGTTTATCCCGCAGTGCATTGTTTGTTAATGTGGGGTGCGCATATTTTCTTACGACAAAAATGATCAAACTGTTCATAAAGATAGCATCAATTTGTGTTACCAACCAGTTAGCGTATTAACTTACTTGTAGTGAAGGTTGTGACCAAGAATGTTCTGTTAGTTTTTATTATACTACCTCGATAAAAACTCGTTATATTGAAAAGGAAGCTATAGCTAGCTAATAGTTACATTTCCTTCTCCGTAGCTGTCGAGATTGATGTCTGCTGTAAATATCCGCGAATAACTACAGTATTCTCTTGTACTTTTCTGAAGGTACGACTGGGTTTTCTTTTGGCTCGTTTGGTGCCAAGACCACAGCAGCTTCCACAACATTTGGGTTTGGTGCAGCCACGGACACCACAGCTCCGTCTGGGTTCGGCAGTGAGTGCACAACAAATACGGATGTCTGTTAATATGTAATTGGGTATAATAATGAAGTTATATGCACGTAGGCGTCAGACTTTTTTAAACCTACATATTCATTCATTAAAAAAAACAAAAACGTGTTCATAAATCTCAAAGATATCTGATGTGGGGGCCACAAACCATTTTTACATTGTTACCATGTGCCACTTGGCATGTTCTGTCCTTTTAATGCAAAACTAAACTGGCATGTGCATCTCCAAATAAACTGTGATGCTGATTTAAAGGTTGCTATACAATTTTATTTTCCTGTGTTCTAGCGTTTACAGCCCCCAACTTTGGTACAGCCACCACTAGCGCAGCTGCACCATCCACAGGCTTTAGCTTTGGTTCCACCACCACTGTTAAGTTGTTATGAAATTTATGAAAAGGGAGCTGGAAATAGCACTGCTGGTGGGTTTAGTTTTGGGGGGTTTGGCATAAATGCCAAACCCAACAGCAGTGAGCTTTAATGTGGGATGCTTTGGTACAACTACTATTACTGGCACGACCTTCACATTTGGTAATAGCCTGGCTAGCACAGGTAGAAGACCATTAAAAATCATTATTTCTTGGGGTATTCCATGAAATGTGCAACACTAATAGTTTATAGCACTAAAAACATGAAGATCATGCACCTTTTGGAGAGCTGACCCTTCACCTTTTCTGGTGAAGGGTCAGCCACCTGCTTGTTTACGTGTTAATGCTTTGACTGGAACATTCCACAGTATTACATAAAACTCTATCCAGCTAGAGAAGTTAAAACTCTGCATGTGAACAGCAGTGTTGGGAAGTAACAGATCACATGTACTGGATTTATGTAATTAGAGTACAAATTATGAGTAACTGTATTCAGTTACAGTTACTGTTTCAGTGAGTGGTAATTGGATTACAGTTACTTTGTTGAAATAAATTGATTACACAGAGGTATTTTCCTGTTTTTCACATTTTGGGCTATATCCCTTTTTTTATTTTTCAGTAATTCCACTCATTGCCGGAAACTAAACCAGGACTAAACCAGGACTAAACCAGGACTAAACCAGGACTAAACCAGGACTAAACCAGGACTAAACCAGGTCTAAACCAGGACTAAACCATGCCTCAAACAGGATTTAACTGGACTAAATCATGCTGCGTGGACGTGTTTCCTCCTCTTCTGTTAATAATATTTTTTATTTGGTTAAGTAAAGTCTGGGCTTTTTATTTTATTTTATCAGACAAAACTTCTTATGTTACGATATTCTGGTATTTGCTTCTCTACAGCAAATCAAGTAATCCAAAGTATTCAGATTATGTTACTCACTTTAAGTAATTTAATGGATTACGTTACAAACTACATTTTGGGGTATGTCATCTGTAATCTGTAGGGGAATACATTTTAAAAGTCACCTTCCCAACACTTGTGAACAGACACAGCTGTGCTCTCTCCGTCAGCGTTGGCTTCTGTCATAGCAGTTTTCTCAGCTGGGCATTGTTCTGAAATCAGCTCTGTGATTTTATTAATAATGTTCATGGAAAACCACATTTCTAAAATGTTTTTGTTTACATTTGTGAGATGATGGTTAGTGTTCTGTGCTTGCTAGTTCCCTTTGCATGTCATTGAAATGTGGTTTTCTATTCATATTCTCACTGTACAATGATTTATCATGTTAGCTGGTTCTCTCTCAGGATCTCATTCTCTTATACATCAATTTTTTGTTGCAAAATTTGCAAAAACATTTGTTGCAACTTTATTTTATTTTGTGTATTAAAGGGATAGTTCAGGATTTTTGACATGAATCTGTATGGCATCCCCGTCATCAGTGTTGTGCATCCACACCGACTTAGCGTCCGGTGAGCCGAGATACTGGCCCGTTTTGGTGCTGAGGAAAGTAGTTCGGCAAGTTGTGTGGGGACTGTATACTAAAGCGTTTTTCTTCTCAAAGCAATATTTGTTCAAAAGAGTGATACATTTGCATCACAAAACCATCGTCGCCAAAAAAGTCAGCCCTCATAATCGCTTGGCGCTATTTTCTCTCCGTACGTACCACTGCGCGCGGCTCTAGTTCTCTCGTTAGCTCTCTCGCGTGGTGGCGGTCTGCGCATGTAAACACTGCCGAACAACTGAAGAAAGTGATGGATCCGTGCGCGGCTGTCACCTGGCGGCCGCGCGCAGTGGTACGTACGGAGAGAAAATAGCGCCAAGCGATTATGAGGGCTGACTTTTTTGGCGACGATGGTTTTGTGATGCAAATGTATCACTCTTTTGAACACATATTGCTTTGAGAAGAAAAACGCTTTAGTATACAGTCCACACACAACTTGCCGAACTACTTTCCTCTTCACCAAAACGGGCCAGTATCTCGGCTCACCGGACGCTTTCGGGGGTAACTCGGTGTGGATGCACAACACTGATGACGGGGATGCCATACAGATTCATGTCAAAAATCCTGAACTATCCCTTTAAGGTTGCAATGTATTTCTCAGGCACTTTTGGTGGATTTGGAACCACAACAACCTCTGCTGCTGCTCCTGGGTCAACTTTTAGTTTTTCTGCTCCTTCAGCTGCCACAGGTGTGTAAAATTGGACAGTTGAGTGTTTGCTGTTTTCAATAGACTTACAGGACTAACATAATCAAATGTTTAGTTTTTTTTTTTTACTGTAACTCTTGTTTTACTTGTGTGTCATAGGGAGTCTTTTTGGTAGCACACAAAACAAAGGCTTTGGGTTCTCCTCTGGCCTCGGTACAGGGACTACCACTGGAACATCAGCTTTTGGAACTGGATTGGGAGCAACCAGCCTTGGCGGGTTTGGAAGTTTTAGCATTCAGCCAACACAGCAACAGCAAGGTGAGCTTGTATTTTAAAAAACTGAATTAAAAAAAATGCAGTTTACCTTCATTAGGTACAATAATATGTAATATAATATGTAATCCATCTGTTCTTATTCATAACTTTTAGTATCAAATAGGGATGGGCATAATTGATCATCGGGAGAATTAACGATCGATTATCTATTAATCATTAACATTTTTATATTAAAATTATCATCATTATTATTACTGTAACTATTATTAAACCGTAACCTCTCTAGTGCCACATCAATCCGTTTGAGATTATAATGTGTTTAATGCAGCTTTGCACAAGTCTCACAGAACCAAAACTTTAAATCGCTTGGCTAATTTGCATAAACTAAGCAAAGAAAAAAATAGCTCTTGTGCGCTGATGCGGTCAACTTCTCTCGGACTAAAGGACACGACTCAGTGGAATATAGGTTAGGATGACCATATTTGCGTTTGTCAAAACCAGAACACCCTACGGGGAGTGGGAGGTGGGGCCTCGTCATTGACATTGAGCTACTCTCACCTGGGAAAACTTTTTAATGTTTTTTGGTGTCCTGGTGAACTTTGAGGTCCTTGGCACCCCCACTGAACACCGAAACATATGTGCCTGCTTTGTACACTGTGCACATGGCCTCCCACTTGTCTCGACCGGGATGGAAAGCGGGGAATTTCTTGTACAAGTCATCGTTAAATGTGCATTTGTGCTTCGGCATGTTGCGAGCTGACCGACTGTTTGTGTCTGCACGCTCCTTCTGAGTGCAGAGAGCTACGAGAGCCGCTCAATTTAATGGTCCAATGAACGGTAATGAAAACCCGGACATTTGCATCACTTTATAAAAAAAAAACCCAGACGGCCAGGACAGGACATGAAAAACGGACATGTCTGGGGAAAAACTGACGTTTGGTCACCCTAAGCTATGCACAACAACCTACATTCAGTTTGTCAATTAAAAATGAATATAATCGACAAAATTCTTTATGATCAATTATCAATTAATCAACTAATCATGCCCACCCGTAGTATCAAATATATAATATATAAATTACATTATATACAGTGTTGTTACATAAAAACAGTCAAGTATCACCCATTTTTCATCTGATTCTCAGGTGGCTTGTTTGGTCAGCAGGCGCCACAGCCGGGCCAGACCCAGCACACGCAGCTTTACCAGCAAGTCATGGCCCTGTCAGCTCCAACACTACTTGGAGATGAGCGTGACACCATCTTGGCCAAATGGAACCAGCTGCAGGCATACTGGGGCACAGGAAAGGGCTATTATGCTAACAACAATCCTCCTGTTGACTTTACCCAAGAAAACCCTTTTTGTCGCTTCAAGGTTGAGCCTTTTTAAATTAAAATTCAGTAATTCTTTTTATGGTAAAATATAAATGAAAATCTCTTGATTTCTAGGCAGTTGGCTATAGCTGCATCCCTGTAACAAAAGATGAAGATGGATTAGTAGCATTAGTTCTGAATAAAAAAGAACAAGATGTACGAGCCCAACAGCAGCAGTTTGTCGAGTCCCTCCAGAAAGTTTTGGGAAGCAACCAAATGTTGTCTGTCAATGTAGAAGGTGTGAAGTCCCTGCCAGATGATCAGTAAGTTTATATTTACTGCCATGTATGGCTGCAAAATGAAGCACAAACCCATCCAAATTGCAATTAAATATTTGGTATTTAATTGTTTAGAAGATCCTTTGTTAACAACAAAAAAAACTGTCCCCAACTCTCCCCAACTTGTAAACCTTGTATTTTAAACCTACAAATGATTCTGAAATTCTTAATGCAGCAGTCCATATATAGTTTATTTTATTTTGAGATATTGAGTTGCGTAGACAACAAACATAATTGAATGCAGTCTACTTGTATCTTTAGGACAGAGGTGATAATTTATGTTGTGGAGCGATCACCAAATGGCACATCAAAGCGCATTCCTGCCTCCACCCTCTTCAGTTACCTGGAACAGGCCAATATAAAGATTCAGCTAACACAACTTGCTGTATTGATGTCTGTTGCGCGCACAGAGTTGTCTCCAGCGCAGCTTAAGCAGCTGCTGCAAAATGCTCCAGCTGGTATGTCGTGGAATATTTAACTTCTGCATGTAGAAGAACAAACTTTTTCTAAACTTTTTGGTTCATTGTGGTCTCTAGGTGTTGATCCTATAATTTGGGAACAGGCAAAGGTGGACAATCCTGATCCAGAAAGGTAAGTTCCTACAGTCTGAACTCCCTAATACTATACGAACCATATACATGATGATGGGGATGGGTACTGAAACCATGGATCTATTAAAATAACTGAAACCCAGTGAAACCGTCTACTGGATCATTAAACTCCAGCCATCAAATGCGTGCATAAGATCATTCCAGCGCATATGAGTGACCTACACTACTTTAACTGAGCCGCACTCACAGATGCAGACACAGAAGCAAAGCGCTGAAATTTTAAGTTTAAGATGAGCAGGGTGGCTGCAGTGAAGTTTAACTCACTGCACGAGGGTTGCCTGCAGGGATCACAAAGACCAAATGTAAAATTCTATTTTACCTCCATTTTTAGATTAATTCCTGTACCTATGGTGAGTTTTAAAGAGCTATTGCGGAGATTACAAATCCAGGAACAGATGACCAAACAACACCAGACCAGAGTGGATGTAAGGGCCAATTATCCTTCATTCAAACTGTTTTTGTTTTGTGCTTTGGTATTCATTTTTTAACCTTTTCACAGATAATCTCTAATGACATAAGTGAACTACAGAAGAACCAGGCAACGACAGTGGCTAAAATTGCTCAGTATAAGAGAAACCTGATGGACCTCTCCCACAGAGTTTTGCAGGTAATGTTTTGCCTTTTTATACAGGCCCCCAAAATAAATATAAAATAATTTATGATCTATTCTGCATCTAATTGGCCCTCGCCAGTAACGAAGTAACTGGCGAGGGCTATTGTTCTTCGCCGGTTTCTTCCGCTCTTTTATTATTTTTCTTTGCAAACGATCGCGATTTTGACCGTCGACGAAAAGTCCCCAAACAGGGTATCAGATCGACCGGTTCGGCGAAAAATTTGATAAAATGGGCATCGCGACAATGCCCAAAGCACCCCCACTCAACAGTGCCCCGTTGAAATTTGAAAATTTTGAAATGAATTGGAGGCTCAGACAAATTTTGGCATAGGGTCACGAAATTCGGAACAATAATAGAACTCAAGGAGACAAGCAAAAAAGTCAATCATTGTGCACCCCTATGATGAACAGGAAGTCGGCCATATTGGATCAAAAATTCGGCGCCGTTTTGACTTGGGTGTCTACAAAAAGATTCAAGTCCCCGGGGTTTGGTCCAAATGAGCTCAAATTTGACATGTCACATCTACAGACATAAACTCACAAAAATCATAAATAAAAAAAAAAAATACTCCTTACGGTTTGACCGTAGCACACTGGCGAAAAACGCCTTCATTTCCTGTTTTTTCGGTGACCTGTCACGGCCACAGGCATTGGCCTAGAGAGCTCAAATTCAAATCACAATTGCATGATCCAGGCCTGAATGTGATGAAATATGAAATCTAATAAAAGTGAACTCTATAGCGCCCCCTAGCATAGACGTGAAACATCAACATTATCGGATTTGGACCAAAGTTGGGGATTAAATTCTATAAATTATTACAAGCAAAAAAGTCTATTATGGACATCATGCATTTTCCACCATTGGCCAGCAGGGGCGCAAAGACTCCCCCAAAAAATAGTTTAAAATTTATTACACAAACAGGTTTTGTCTGATCGTGCTGAAATTTGAATCACTAATGCCTGATCACGGCCTGAATATAATACACTATAAAACATGTGAAAAGTTAACTCTATAGCGCCCCCTAGCATAGACATGAAACGTCAACATTATCGGATTAGTACCAAATTCGGATATTAAATTCTACACATGATTACAAGCAAAAAAGTCCATTATGGACATGATGCATTTTCCACCTTTGGCCAGCAGGGGCGCAAAGACTCCCCCAACAAATAGTTAAAAAATGATTACACCCACAGGGTTAGTCCGATTGTGCTGAAATTTGAATCACTAATGCATGATCACGGCCGAAACATAATACACTTTAAAGTATATGAAAAGTGAACTCTATAGGGCCCCCTAGAATAGACATGACATGTCAACATTATTGTATTTGTACCAAATTCAGGGAATAAGTTCTATGCATGATTATGAGCAAAAATATATATAACGGACATGGTGCATTTTCCACTGTTGGCCAGCAGGGGCGCAATGACTCCTAAAAATATTTAAAGGTGCATTATGTAATGTGTCTAATGGACGAGCTGTTGGCCTGGGCGGCTATCAGGAAGAGAGAGTGATGTGCCGGGGCGGTCGCGAGTCCCCGGAGGTCGCGTGGGAGGGGAGTGCGCGCCGGGGTGAGGGCCACCATCGCTGCGCGCGGCTTTAATTTCTATTTGCTATTACATATTTTATTTATTTATGTTTAGGTTCTAATAAAACAGGAAATTCAAAGAAAAAGCGGATATGCCATTCAAGTTGATGAAGAGCACCTCAGAGTCCAGCTGGACACTATTCAATCTGAGCTCAATGCTCCCACTCAGTTCAAGGTAACCATGTGTTCAAACTTGCATCAATTAGCATCATATAGTGTGCTTAACACACGCTGTTACAAAACCAATATATTTGAAATGTCTTGTTTAACATTTTGGTTTGGGTATTCTTAGAAATACATCTATCTTCTTTGTATTCAAGGGTCGTTTGAATGAACTGATGTCCCAAATCCGAATGCAAAACCACTTTGGTGCTGTGAGATCTGAGGAGCGCTACAGCGTTGATGCAGACCTCCTCAGAGAAATCAAGCAAGTGAGTGTTGGCAGTATTTAGTATTCTTTTTTGCATGTCTGCAGGTAGTAGTTTCAGTTCATGTAATATATATATTTTTTTTAGCACCTAAAACAGCAACAAGATGGACTGAGCCATTTAATTAGTGTGATCAAAGATGATTTGGAGGACATCAAACTAATAGAACATGGACTGAGTGATAGTGGACATTTAAGAGGAGGCATGTTAAACTGAACCTCTCAACATACGCTCAAAAGGAGCATATGTTGAAGATTTTCTTCCAAAGCAATTAGTTAGTTAAACAAAAATGTCCTTTTTTTTTTTAAGAAAGGTATGATGGTTCAGTTTCAGTATTTCATGTTATTCCCTTGATCAGCATGGCATAAAAGAACATGAAGATCTAAATTGTAATATATTAAAACATCAAATAATGGTTATGAGGCTGTGGTTGGCATATTGCATATAATAATGTTTTGGATTTTTAAAAATATACCTTTGTGTTTTTTATGATGTTAAAATTTAATAAATGTATGTAAATATGAGGTCTGACTGTTGTGATTTTATAAGGTTTTATTTGAACAATAGAATATAGTGTATGGATATTTAAATAGCAATTTGCCTAAAATAAAGTTTTACAGTGTCACCAACTCCTCAAGTCTAGTTTACATTCAGAGATACTTTCCAACATCTCATCAAAGTATGGCTTAAGTTGAGAGGATTCCTGTCCTGGATTCAAAACTACATAATCAAAAGGCTGATTGATGGTTGAACTGATAAAGCAGACGCTTCTTTGCTGCTGGCAAGTTACTTTATAAAATATATACCAGGAGTCAGGGGATGAATAAATGCAAGTACTCAAATACTCAAACATGTTTATTTTGATACTTGGTTCATAGTTTCTTCTCTATTTTTAGGGGCAGAGTTGTTCTCTTGAAGATGTACATACATGCTAGGCCAAGTAGTACATATTTTGTGTTGCGATAAAACTGACTGATTCTTTTTATGTTAATACCATAATAAAAGGGTTGTGTTTTATTCTACATTTGCAGAGAGGTCAACTAGTCTAAATGCCTCCATAAACTCATTAATGTCAATGCTTCCATCTTTATTAAAGTCAATACTCTGTGCCAAATCTGAAATAGCTTTGTCACTGATTTCTAGTCTCAAGTGAGAACTGAGTAGTTTCCACGTCCGATGAAACTCTTCATATGATATGAGACCTGCAGTTAAGAGATAAGAGGACCTTTATAGAAGACATAGGTTGAACTGAAAATACAATGCTTTTATTCTTTCCGTCACTCACCAGAATGGTCTGTATCAATAATTCGAAAAATAGTTTCCAGATTTGAGTGGTTTTTATACATAGTCTCCAGGATGCTGGTGTCTGTAATCTAATGCATTGCATATATATATATATATATATATATATATATATATATATATATATATATATATATATATATATATATATATATATATATATAATAAAATAAAAAATAAAACTAGTTAAAAAATTCATTGCATTAATTTCTGCATATGCAGGAAACCAGGGGTTTTAAGGTGACATTTGTCTTACGTGTAGTTTGGGCTCTGTGATGGAGAATTCTCTTATCCACTTATGATAATCCACCATAGTGTCCTGCGTACAGGTGATGAGCTGTGGACGCAACACCCTCCAGGGCAGACCCAGGTTCAGTACACTCTCTGTGGCACTGGCCCACTGACTGAGGGAGATGATTCCTGTGTGCATATTAGAAACATTAGCTTTAAACTTGATTAGGATTAGGTAACTTTGGAGATGTAGTTTCATGCCTGTACTGTTCTCATCATATTCCTGGAAGGCACTGATGAGACTTGACTTGTGAGCAAATAACTGTTCTCTAAGTGCTTTCAAAGCTGATTTTTCGGTCTGTCCAATGCTGACAAATAAGATACAGCATGTTTTCATGTTAAATATTTGTCATTCTGCTAGATTGCCAAATATAGTGTGTACCTCTGTCTGAGAGTAAGCTCTCTGCAGGTTCGGCTTGCGTGGTACTGGTTAAAGTGTGGTACTAGATCAGCACCCATTCTGACGTATGCACCTCTGTTACTGCCCAGCTCGTAGTAGTTAGAGGCTGAAAAAATAGTCAGTACCTGGAAATGCAGAAAATATTAACTGTGTTTTTGGTCAAGGCAAATAATGAGTTGTGTTTGTTTACTTTGTGATTATGGCAGAACTCATATCCCTCCTGTTTGCACTCATGAGAACGGATGAGAAGAAGGAGTTTATGTTTTGAAAGCACTGCTTCTGTCACATCAGGCCCCCAGTAGCAACCTCCTCCTCTTACTTCATTAGATATACAGCCATTTTGAGACATGGGGTCACTCCACAATATATCCACAATCTACAATTGCAGAAAAGTCACAAGAATATATCTTATGTAATGTGAGAGTGTTTTGTTGCTTACTTGTTTCCAGTGCTTCTCATCTGTCTCTCTTAGTTCAGGGTCTGAGTCTGAGTTGGTATCCTCATAGGTGCCGTCAGATTCTGCCTGTCTGCATCGCCTCTTCAGCTCTTCATCCATTGAACTGTTATAATGTGCATTTGTGGCCATATTGTCTAATGATCGCCATTGAATTCTCTGTCTTTGAACCCGTTTTGGATTGTGGTAAGTAAGGGAATACCCTCTCCTCCGGCCTCCAGCTTGTTCAAAGCAATCTTTGATCCTGCCATTGGAATCATTAGATTTAGTGTTTGTTGGCTTAGGGGGCCTCAGGACTGAGACATACTGTAGTAATGAAACACACACATTAGACTTTCATTACTACTAACTATATGTTTAAATGTGTATCCTTAAAATCTCTTACTTTGTGTCTGTCCACTTTGTCTATTGTGTCAAGATCAGTTGTGTCAGAAATCCCTCCATGCACTATAAGTACTTTGTGATCAACCACAGTAGCAAGAGGCAGCCAGCTGAAAATCTTGTGCATAAGTTTCAGAATCTTTTTGCCATGCACCTGCAGTTTTGTGCAAATACAAGGATGAAATCATCTCCACATTTTTCCCACATGATAACAAGAGATACTTCAATATTTCGACCTCGCAAAGAAACTCTTTCAACAGACAATAATTTATCAGGTAATGAGTTTGGTGCAATATCAATATCACATGTGTCCTGGGAGTGTGGTATTATGTTACATTGTGTTGTTGTGATACAGTGTGTTGTGTTGGACCATTCTTCATGCCTCAGGGAAAACTATCAAATCTGAACAGTGATACATTATGAAGGTTATTCATTCTGTGACAAGGAAAGACAGGTGTCTTACCGATCTTGATAGCACAATAAAAATAATACATATTGCTGAGATATTCATACCCGGTACTTTCCCAGGACTTCTTTAGTAAAACCATATCTGTTATAAAGAAAAGACATAAGACATTTAACTCAAGTCACATTTTCTTTGACTCTGGTTTAAAACTAAAGAGTTACCTAAGCCTAACCCATACCTAAGGTTCACCATATGGTCCTCATGGTTTCCTCTGTTCAGATGGACATCATTAGGATAGACCAGCAAAAACCCAAACAGAATGAGCACAATCTCTAAAGAGTTTTTTCCTCGGTCCACAAAATCTCCATTAAAAACATACGGTCTCTCCGAAGATGGCAGTCCATTCTATGTTCATTTCACAGTTAAGGTCAGAATCACTTCATCTCAGATCAAACAGCAGTGTGTTAGTACTTTTACCTTGTAGAATATCAAAAGCAGGTCTTCCAGGTGCCCATGTAAGTCTCCTATAAAGATCAGAGCACTTCAATCATTTAAGGTTTTTAGTAGGAGCCTTGATTAGACAAATATTTGAATACCACAGATAGTGATCTCTTTAGCATGAGTTGTAGACACATGAGTGATATTTGGAAGAATTCTCAAAAGTCTCCAGGTTTCTCCAAGAAGCTGCAGAACATAACGAGCATGGAGCAGCTACTGAAGAAAAGCAGGCTATAAATATTGGGATTTTGAAGACAATATTCATATGCTTACTTGTGTCTATATATGTGTGAAGATGTGCACCTACTTGTTTGTGCTTAAACCCCTCCACCAGTCTAGACACCCCACAGAATGTCAATGGGAAAGTTAGGTGTGGACCACTGTAGCTGTCAGGTACATCAACATTTTTGTAGCAGAAATACCTCTCCCATTCCACATCACGGCAGATCTCATTTTCACGAAAAAGATGAGATATGAGACTTCCTTCATGAAAAGGAATGGAAAGTTGTTATTTGTGCTTTAACTCTCATTAACAAAGCTTTAATTAGAATAGCCTCACTTTCATTGCTGGATGGTGTGAAATGATCCATTAAATAGCTAAAAAACTTGTATAGCTGAGGGAAAACATAAAAAAAAAAGATCTCATGAGTTGACAATGATGGTTGGTTGAACATTTGTACCTTTATCTGGTCTTGCTCTCCTGCATATTCAATGGACTGAAATATGTTCCATGTACATCTGCGCCTTATCTCCAAACGGGCCACATACTGTCTGTACCAGCGCTGAATGAGCAGAGCAGCTCTGATGGCTGCACAAAACCAAAGGCATTATAAATAAACAGATGGATTTAGTAACATGTTGAAGGACACAAAGGCTATATAAGTGCAAGGGGGTATGCAGGCATCAACTTTTGAGGTTCATAGATGAGTGTTCTACTAAATCCATCTCTACTAAGCCACTGCAGTTGTCCACAGCCTACACTACAACTGTGTATTGGAGAAAATAACAAACCTGTAGCAGCTTCAGTTTCCAAAGAATATAATAGCATACACAACAAGAACACAATGCACAAATAAATTCAACAGCTCTAATTAATATAGTTTATCAATAATGAAAAATACCTGGAACTAGGCTGCTGACTGTAATGAAATGAAAGAAACATATTTGAACAAAAGTGCTTATTTGGAAAATATAAACACTACTGCATTATTACCACCTCTCTCAGATTTCTGTTGCCGTTGTTCTGGTTTTCCCATGCCAAACCCCATGACCCTTGGATTTTTTCCCTGCTAAATACAAAGACACTTTTACAAATGAGATATTTGACCTTGTGTTTGCAACCTGAATGTAATAATAAATTTGTACAATAAAATGCCACAAAATAATGGTGTATCAAGGTTCTATTTATTTCAATAGATTCAGTGACCCATATAAAGAATGAAAATGGACCTTACCTCTCATTGTCTTCTTAAGCAAATTGGAACTCAAGTCTTAATGCTACTGTTAACACAAAAATCCTGCCTTACATTCCAAATGTTTTATAAGTTAAATATTGTTGTTGTTATTATTATTGTAGCAAATACAGTGTGAACTAGAAGCCCAGCCAAAGTACTGAGCCATGGACAAGCAATGTGATCAGCATAGTTGTACAAGGAGGGATTAAGCCTTATGGCTAGGGTGTTCTCGGAGTAAACGGATAAAGAACAGTTTAGCAGCTTGAGTTGTCTGTGGCTCAAGATATGTCAGTCATAATTCATCAGACATGGAAATCTCTTATTACAAATATCCAAACGACTAAATACATTATGTTTTGTGGGTATTCTTATTTCGGAGATTTGATTGAGGCCATGTCATCCATAAATCTCAACACAAAGAAAATGTCATGAAGTAATTTTAATTTGTAAAAATAAATGCCTCTACTGTATTCCTTCTTTAATTACTTTTGATTACTTTAGGCACTGAAATCAATTAATCAGTCAAGTTAAGTCAATTAAGTCAGATTTATTTGTATAGCTCATTTAAAAACAACCATAGCTGTACAAAACACTTTACATACAGAAAATTAATACAAGAAAATTTAAAAGAAATATAAAAATATATACCACTATGAGCATATTAATATGAAAAAATCGCTAGAATGTGTGATTTATTGTCAGTTTTAATTACTGCCTAAATAAAATAGTATAATTCAAGTGAAAAAACTACAGCACTCTTTCCTGCAGCTTCTGTGAAACACAAGCCATTCATTTAGTTTATTGGTGCTGCTGCTGCTGCTGCTGCTGCTAATAATAATAATAATAATAATAATAATAATAATAATAATAATAATAATAATAATAATAATAATAATAATAATAATACATTTTTATTATGGATACTTTTATAAGACTACCTTGTAATTTTCCAAAAAATCATCTGGTAACAGGTCTTCTTGGGCCAGCCTCCCAGTGTTTTTTTTCACACAGAACTCTGGACAAGAAAACAATGTTAAGTATCTCAAGGCCACATTAGGGTAGGCAAAGATAAAAACTCAGGTTCCCAGGACCTGACAAACAGTACCACAGCATCCCTGTTCGAACCAGACTGACTCGACTCTTGTATACAACTGATCTCCATTGAGCACAGAATTAGACCTGCCACTGCACCCATCAGCATGTCTTCTGTTTTCATCATCACACTTCTGGGATCGTCAGTGGTGACTGCCTTTGTCTTGCAACCATCACACGAAGAAAAAAAAGACCACTCTGTTATCAGAACAGGTTTTCAGCAAAGGTTTGTGAACTTTCTTCACTGGGATGAGAGGGGGTGTTCTAAATACCTAAAATATGTAAGGTGATGATCATATTAATATTTATATGATATTATATAAACAGGCATTCAATTGCACCAGGGTTTATGTGCACCTGATTATTGGCACGTTTCATGTTGAAGCATGTTTGGAGGAATCTTTTCACATTGTTCTAGATGAAGAAATCCTCATGTGGTGGAGTAACATAACTCACTTGGAATCATGATAAAGTCTTGTAATGACTTGAAATGAATGAACAATTTGAAATGAAGTGATTTTATTTTTCATTTCCCTATGCTGTATGTCTGTGCAGCTGCCAGAGTGTGTCCCTGCAGTCCATCAAAAAGGATCTTCTTAAGTCTTTGAGTCTACAGGCCGAGCCCCAGGTGCCATTGGGCTTACTGGACAGTGTACAGGAACAATGGAAAGAGGCCTTCAGTGCACTGTCTAATGATGCGATTGAATCTGAAGGTCAGGAGCAGAGTGTGGCTTTTTTTTTTCAGTATTGATAAAAGTTCAAGACCTATCTTCCTTGGGAACAGCTATAATCAGTGTATCTTGTTTTGTGTTGTAGCAGCATCTGTTTCTGATGGTGGAAACATTAGTAACAGCCTGGAGTGCTGCTCCATGACATCTGAGATCTTCATGAAAGGTACGCATCTGTGTGTGATCCTTGCGTTTGCTGCATCAAGCATAGTGATTTATTTTTTCACCTTTGTCTTAAACAGATCTAGGCTGGAACAACTGGGTTATCTACCCTGCGAGTCTCACATTTACCAAGTGTAAGCTCTGCACCAGAGAAGGGAGCACAGTGCATTGTCCACATGTTCATCCTCTGAATGGACAGGTACAGATCTGAGATTTGATTTCATTTTGTCAATTGTATATTTGTAAGTCAGATCAGACTCCCAAAACTGAAATGTGTGAAAAAGTCCAGAGGGTCTGGATTTCTACATGGTTTGTTATGAAAATGAAACAGCTGCCAGCAGATAGGCAAATTTTTTTCCCTTCCTGTGCCAATATAAAACTCATGCCAAAACACTCCCCGGATTAGGTCAGCCAGTTCAATAGAGTCTGGGACTAATATATTAGACCAATAGAACCAAATGAACTCCCTGTGCTCACAGTAGTAGTAGTAGTAGTTTATTTTCTTTAGTCATGTACTTAATAAACTGTTACAAACATTTCACATAAAACATAAATGACCGAAGGGGTTTAGGTTGAAGTGAGATCACTTATGAATGCCTAACCCTGTTTACAAGTTATGATGATATGGCTGTCAGCAAATAACAAGCAACAGCACAAATAGCACAGAGGAAAAAAATAAAAAAATATATTAAAATAATAATAACAATAATAATAAATAATAATAATAACAGCACTCATGAGTTCAGTACAGAACTATGTGAACTCTAGTCCACTTCCTACACCTAAAAAAACCCAAAACTTTTTCCTTCAAAATCATCAACATTTATCCTATACACTAACCTGCTTCTGTAGCCTATCTGCATTATTATCTTACAGTCTCTCTCTATGTAGTAAAAATATGTCTTTAAATCATTCTATCGATTTAACATGCTTAAAGAGAACTTTACATGTTTGTTATTTGTATAATATTAGTCTTTTTACATTTTTTTTATATTTTTAAAAACTTTATTGTGTCATACAGAAGTTCACCAGCATGTTATCCTTGTGTGACATTACATGTTTAGACACAATATCCATTATTCTTACATTATAAATTTACCTCATACTTGTTATTTCAAGGTTCCCTGCTGCCGCCCTACCTCCCATAAGATGGTGCCCATTGTCTACATGGATGAATTTGGCAGTGTGGTCATTTCCTCTATGCAGCTGACCCAAAGCTGTGGCTGTGACATTGGCAACAACCAGGAGCCCATCAACAAGTAAAGTAGGTTTGAGGGATGCCATGAGACCACCTAATGCCAACTTTGTACAATGTATTAGTGTTATCTTTAGTCTTGACTTGAGTCTTCATGGAACAGCCTGTGAGAACAGCAGCAACAATGAACTCATCAGATTAATTTCATGTTTCTCCTAGAATAAAGAAAACTGAAAACAGTACTGCTCAAAAAATGTTGCTGCAAGTTCATATTAGCTTGGTCTATTTTGGGACTTTGAATGTAACTCAATTTTCCCGCTGAAAATGTCAGTACCTCATTCAGGTCTTTCAGCCAGTTTCCCCAAATGTTTATCTCTTCCCATGGAACTTGTATGCAAAAAAATGTGAAATCAAATGTCTTTTCAAAAAAACAAATGTAGTCCTTTGACACCTTTGCATTGTAATTTGTGCACATGATGTAATGATATAATGTACTGTGTGCTAAAAATATTCAGCAGCTTTATATGGTATTGTAAAACATTACATATTTTGTGTTCATTATTTTTGATTAATATAATTCTGTTTCATTATGTTTGCTTAATATAATAAATGTCCTTGTAATCAGCTTACAAGTGCTGTGTTTTTGGACCCATGCCGGTATAATTTCCTTGAGTACAAGTAAAACGTCATGTTTTTCCGTAGGACCTCCAGGGTACAAAAACAGCAGTGAAAAAAATGTTGGCACTGCCTACTTGAGCACAGAGAGAGAGGGAGGGCAAGCTGTTGCGCACTTCTTTATATGCTGCATACCTTTTACATAGATGCTTGATATGATTGCAAACTTTTGAAAAAGATCACCAGACTGCTGCTGACAGTTTTCACCATGGGCAAAATCTCAAGACATTTTACTGTGTGGCTTACTCTCTGCATATTTACTCTGATGGTAAAGGCCGTTTGGGCTGAAGAATGTTCGGACAGAAGAGGACTGCGACCTCTTCCCAGCAAGTTGAATCTGCCATCAGACTGTTTAATGGACTGCACTATGAGGACATACATAAAAAAACGGCTTTTACAACACAGGTCTTCAATAGAATTTAAAGACAGCACACAAGGTAAGACTTACATTAATATTAAATCATAGTTTAGCATCATATGAGGGGTCTTTGTCCTTGTGTAAAATAAAATACTTCAAAATATCTCAAATATTTTTATGAATATAAATGTTAATAAGTATTTATGACTGCCAAATCATGTGTACAATATCTTATAAATTTTATGATTTCTCATTTCAGGAGACCATGGGGGATACTGCTGGTCAACTTTTCTTAAATGCATTGTAGGAGGGGAGCGCTTTGATCGGGCCTTTGTGATATTACCTTGGAACATAACTTCAGCAGAACAAGTGGAGGTGGTCACAAGCCCTGCTGCAACCAAACTGAGTGTCCACCCCTCTCTTCCATTAATCTCAGACTCCTGTGGGCTCCTGTATGAAGTGAGCCAGAACTTCAGCACAGAAAACACACACAGCTCCTTCTGCATACAGCTTCGCACTCTGCAGAACAACTCTGGGGATAGGTCCTCAAGATGTCCTCCATACCTGCTGGTCCTGTGGCAGAGTAACTCCAATCAGGCACATCAGCAAAGTGGTGGATAGTATGGATGGCCATATCTGTACAGCACTATGCAGTGCTACTTATAAACTGAAAAATCAACAATATATGCTCAAGTATCAGTTTGATGTGTTAATTTGGTGTAATGTCTGAGACAGGTCAGGACTGAGAATCTAAAGGGTCTGTCCATTTTTAAACAAAAAGAAAAAAAAAAAAAAAAAAAAAAAAAAAAAGCAGATTCAGCACCAAACATTATCGTACAGCTGTTACTGAACTTGTAATTTAATTGCATAATATCTAATGATGCATTTGTCCATTTGGCACTGATTGAACTGCATGTATGACAGTCATTAGCTTTTTAGTCAATAACTATATTCTATGACATGAATATAGCAGAGAACAGTCTACAATTTGCTTACATGTCTTTCAAGTTTGTCCAAGTAATTGCCTTTTAGATCTTCAACCCAAACACATGTGTTTGTACAGGCATCACATGAGGTACAACTGAGTAGATTAAACAATTTAAGGAAATAACAAGTAGTGACAACTGCAGTTATAGATTCATACCAAGATTTTTTTTCTTTTTTTCCCAGCGCTACTAGATAGGATTATTACACCTGGCGCCATAGCACCACCTGCTGATAGTCCCTACATTAGATCCATGGTAATACATACAGCAAGTAAATCATCTTGTCTCGTCATGCAAGATTTAAGGTTAATATGATTAACTATGACTGTAAACCATGGATCTATAATTCTATAATAAAAATTAAATTAATTATTAAATTATTATTATACTTCAGTGATGTAAACAGGCACGAGATCAGGAGGTTTTTCCAATCAAAAAACAACACTCAATAAAGTCAGTTTTGAAAATGTGAAGTTATTTATTTTATATAAATAATATAATTTTAGATTTATAATACATTTTAGATTTTAAAGATTTTAGTTCATGTGATTTATTTGTTTGTTTGTTTTTTGCTGATTACTTCGGCTGTTTGATATTGCAGCTGTTTTTACGAAAAAAAGTTTGAAACTGTAGGCCAATATTTTCCCCCAAATGCATGCTAATTTCCCGACAGGTTCATAGGCATCATAAACGAATGGCTTTTAACGTAGCTTTTACCCATGCCTTTTAACTTTGCCCCTAGCTGAGTGTGAATCATAAAACTATCCATGTTCTGGATCAAAAATCATATCATACTTTTTAATACAGTCTCGTCTGGATCTATGGTGTGCAGAGTGGATGGAGGCTGTGCGACCATACCACCTCTGTCTGTATGGGGGTAACCTATGGCCAAAACGCTTCAAATACACCGCAAGGCAGAACCAAGATATCTTTAATTTTCCATGTTTCTTATATAACTAAACATTCGACCCAAATAATGATAGAAATTCGTCGTTAAAACAAATGCATTTAAAAATGTTTTATACTAAACGAGTGTATAAAACTTGCTTGGCCCCAGGATGACACGAGTCGGCCAATCCATACGAGGCAGTCAGAGTTCACCGGAGTTCACAAACGATAAGGATATCGCTATTTAGGGATTTTCATTTTGAGTTAAATGTGAACTTTGTTTGTTGTATAAATGTGACAAAAATTTGAGAGTTGGTCCACTTCTGTGAAGACTGCCAGAAACACATGACACAACACGGACTGGAGGGGGGCGCACCACCATGACATCTCAACCGAGGTAAGTACCGCTGCTGCCAACACTTTGGCAATAACGTGTCCAATTAAAAATTAAATATTTCATTGAAAAGAGTAATGCAGACATGTAATGCCTCCTTGGCTGTACCTGTTTATGTGCAGACTCGTTTTGGCGCAGTAAGCAGATCTCGTGGGTTCAGGAATCAGCTGGAACCGCTGAGCTGTTGTACTGTTTCGTACTGATTGAGTGTTAACATAAAAGCAAGTCCGCTTGTTTAAGGTCCACCCTTTTTAAATGAAGATGTTATTGCTTTGCTTAGAATGCTCCACTGTACAATAACATCAATGGAGACAAGCAGATGAACCACCAGAAAGTTACACAAGACATCTTTAGAGTAAACCATGATCTTCTCTTTATATCTACCACACAGACTTAGATTCGTTTATTTAAAGGGACAATGCATATTAATGAACATAAAATATAAATATGACAGAATAAGCCAAATGGTTATGTACAGACATTCAGTAACAGATTACAACATTAGAGTTCAAAAAAATAAAAAATACAAAAAACAACAACACAGTGGTCAATGATCACAGACCTGGCTTTTCTTGGACTAACCTTTCAGGTTAATTTGATATGGGGATAATATAGTTTTTGATTCTCCTAAGATTCAAATTACCCCAGGTGATGAACTGCACCTCCAAATGAATTTGCCCAAATTCTTAAATTTACTAATCTGTAAAAATATTATCTCACTTGATTGGGCTGAAATGATATCTGTAGGCAAAATTAGGCACCATCCCAAAACGGCACTCCTTGACCTGTTGTCATGGAACCCTCCCATTGGGGTTTCCAAAAATACAAGCTCCGTCTATTTGGTTCAACTTCTGCAAACTGCACTGACTAATTATTGACACGGCATCTAATTCATTCAAGTGGGTCACACAAGTGCATTCTTTTAAACACTTCAGCCCCTTTGCTTTTAAATGGTGTGTCATGCTTGATTGGATGTTGGTAGCTCTGTATTGACTGTAGGCCTCCTGTGGGAGAGACTCTGGATGGTTGTCAGTATGGTGAGAAATCCTCTTGGCCTCATTGTGCTCTCACTTGTCTGTGTGTAAAATATGTGGCAGAGTCAGTTCCTTTTGGGCCATGGGGGTCTGCTCTTTGTCAAGTCTGGTGCAAGACTGAGATGTGTCCAGTTTTACAATGTATCATGAAGTGTTTTTTAGTTAATATTTAAATGTTTAATAATGTTAACGGTTTCCTATATTTAAAAGAAGAAATGTCTCTAAAGGTGTAGAATTAGTTCAAAAATCCATAATGATTATACTTTAAGACTGTGTCTGTGGTTGAGTATGTGATTCATGAGTATGTAACATTTGATGCCCTCTTTATATTAGCATTGAGGAAAGAAATCGTCTTCGCCTTCAAGCCTGGGAAAAGAGAAACCAAGAGACCAGCCGAGCCAGAGAACAAAACCCTGTGAATGAACAGCTTTTTGGACAACCGTACAAGGTACATTGTGGGAGTGTTTCATCAAGTTTCATCACGTTGTAAACACACTGTGAAGTAATTATGTAATGTCAGTAATAGGGGCAATTTACTGATTCAAAGCATTTTTCTTTTTCCTATTTTTAGACAATTAAAGGGGATGAGCTTTCTAATCGGATTCAGAGGATGCTTGGTAGTTATGAAGACAATACCACAGCTGAGCCGTTTAGTGTTCCTTCCTCCTTAGCCTTTCCACTTTCAAACCTCATTCACCCTATATCTGAACCTCCATCCCACCAAGTATGCTTCAATTCCCAAAATCTTGAAGGTCCTTGTGCTAATCCTCCTTCAGCTGATACTTTTTAATTCTCCTAAACAGCACTGTGAAGAGGAGGCGCAGGGCTTCAGTCAAAGCAATCAGTTGATCCACTCATCACTACAAAAAACATCTCCCAGTGACAACATCAACAAAAGGCAGTTCCCCACATTTGACAGACCTCAATACAATTTCGCAAATCCACAGGTTTCTTGTAAAGATACTTCCTCTCCCCTCAACATGACTATTGGCATGTTACATTCACAAGCTTTCCATCCACCCCTGTCATATAAGCAACCCAAAGCAGCCATGATGCAGAAGCCCACGGCCTATGTTCGGCCAATGGATGGTCTGGATCAGGTTGTGAGTGAATCCCCGCTGCTTAAGACTTCCCCAGAGCACCACACCAGTCTGCCTGACCTCACTGGAGATAAATCCATCTGGGGAAAAGCAGACTTGTTGCCGCAGTTTTTGGAAGTAAGTAAATAAAAATAGAATTGATATTTGTGAGGATCTTTTAGTTTATGGTTCAGTACTGTTTTACAAAACTGTGACTTCACCTCTAAGCTCAACAGAACAATAAATGACCACCATCACCATTCACCATTCATCATCTTGCAGCTTTAGGATCCGCCTGAATGAGTCCTATCTTTGGTTTTGCTGTACTGAGGTTAACATGGACAAGTTCTTAAAAGCATTTCCGACCTACAATATTTGGATAGCATTTACACATTATAATAAGTTAATTTACTTACTTACGTATTTTATTATTTTCCCCAATTGAAACCTACTGCATATTTTGTCAACCTGCAGACTAAGACAAGTGAGGTTCAATATGTAGAAGATATCTTAAGAGTAAGTCCTTTGGCTTTAGTAGTTTAAAATTCTAGTATTTTAGTGTATTTCAATTCATATTAAATAAATTATTAAGTACAATGTATATTTTTTTATTTTTAAGGAAATGACCTGCTCATGGCCTCCACTTTTGTCTGGCATACAGAGCCCTCGCCCAGACTACCCACCAAAGCCCCAGTGCTCTGTCAAAGTAATGATTCATACATTCTGAGTTGCATTTCTGTATGATGCCTTTCTAACAGTTTTTACTTCATAGGAAATCAATACATCTAAACAAGGCGAGTAAGAAAGAGCCTCTGTGGCCTCAACTTGCTTTTCAGTTTTGAATGTTTTGAATCTGTTTTGTGAACTGAACAATCTCATTTGTTTTGGCTCAAAACAAAAATTCTTATTTAATGTACATCTTTATTACATAGACGATAGCCAGGCATCGTCCACAGATCAATCCCATCCACACCATAGTTCATTGGTGTAAGTCAAAAGTACATATTATCTTAAACCACCTGCTGTGTAACTGTGGCACAGTAACAGTTGTCTTTCTATTGTCTTTGCTAGTTTGTCACATTATAGTGCAGTGGATTCTGTCTGCTCCAGTGACTCGGAAAGTTCAAAATCTGAATCGGAGAGTGAGAGTGGCAAAAGTGAGGTACTGCTTTTGAGACTTACTTTTTAAAAATAATGTCTTTTCCACACAAAAAAAATCATTTTAAATTGCTTTGTTTTGGTGTAATTTTATAGCCAGCGCATGTGTCAATGGCATCTGGGGATTGGCAGCTGGATAAATTAATTCAATTCAGGCAACAAAACTACAGGAGTAAAAGTCAATGGGCTATCGCTCAAAGTCCAAAGCTCTCACCACTGAAGGATAGTTTAAACAAACCCACTGTCAGCATCTTCAGCCCTGCCAGAGATACTTCAAATCCACTTTCTTTGGATCACAAAACTGTAAACTTCACAACATCTCAAAAGTCTTGCTCAAGAACTCAGGAGAGCACTGAGTCCACTGATGCCATGAAGCAGACTGAAGATGACCGACATGGAGGCGTCAGTGTTCACTTTGACCAGACGTCATCTACACAAGAGGAAGAGCCCCAACTGAAAAACGAACCAAAACTCAAAACAGAAAAAATGTGCCATAAACGTAGCAGCAAACATAGTGTTGTTTTTGAAAGTGAAAGCACTAAGCACCATCACAAAGATAAAGAGAAGGTTTGGTCTGAGGTTTCAACAGTCTATGATCAGTGCACATCTTGTATTAAAAGCACTTTTTTTTCTAATCGTATGTCTCCAGCATGTAGTTGGAGAAAATCAAAAGCAGAAACCAAGCACAAAAAAGTTTCCAAATTATCTCAGAAAGATAAATGTGTAAATGGGTATTCCCCGGGCAGCTGTAAGGACGCACTGTCGTTAGTTGTGAAAATTGATTTAAATCTCCTCTCGAAAATTCCTCTGACTTCTGGCTCACTTGAAACCAACGTTGTGCAAAAAGATGAGAAACTACATAAAGTCTCAAACAGAAGAAAGAAGGTTAGTACATATTTTTTATCACAAATGATAAAATACTTTACTTGACATTGTACTTTCGTTTTAGGATAAGGAAGACCAGTCTTGTCCAAAGAAGAAACAAAAACTGCAAGACCATAATCCTATTCTGCACACTACTAGACTTGAGTAATTTTCAGTATATTAACTAATATATGCATACATATGAGTTTTGAACTATTGTCACATACTATTCTGTTTTACTACTTGTAGAAATTCAGCAACATCAAAGACCATAGAGAAAAGGGAAAATTCACATCTTTTATCTACTGCAAAGGACTGCACACTCACAAAGAACAAGCAGTACTCTGGTAATGCACCACAGGTAAACCAGTTAAAAAAGGAACCACTGAAAAGGCAAAAAAATCCCAAGAAAAGCTCTGGAAAAAAGATGGATGAGTCAACTTCGGAAAGGGTAAGAAAGAGACGAGGGTTACATTAAATGTTTTTACATGCAACATAATCTTTGTTTTCTTATCCTCCTCATCTTTTTCAGCATACCAAAGAATCTGCAGGCAACAGGCTTCTGCTTAAATTTGAGGACCGGTAAGTTACTCCTTAATTGTGTTTTAGATAAGAAACTCCATTACCATGTACATACAGTTGCAATCAAAATTATTCAGTCCTCACGGCAAATTAGGTTTATTGGTAAAATGTACAAACTAGCAACTGTTTATAAAAAAGAAATCAAACAAGAACAATTTAAATAGCTCAACACAACTAGTATAACAAGTGGTTTCTCCAAGTTCAACACAAAATGCTACTTTTAATTATTACTGCAGTCTCAAAATTATTCAACCCCCTGACTAGAATCCCTCATAAGAGCACACTTTTGCAAATCAAGGGCTTCATTAGTTGCTTGATATGGAACCCCTCAAATATCTGGACTATTGACAGTAACATTTCATTGCATGTTAGAAATATGGCTAAGTCAAGAGAAATGTCCAGAAAGTTCAAAGAAGAGATCATTGCCTTGCATAAACAAGGAAAAAGAAAAGAAAAAATTTAACAAAAGCACTGAATGTTCCTGGAGATACAGTTGAAAGCATAGTTCGAAAGTTTAAAGTTAAAGGAATGGTTGCTACACTACCTGGATGTGGCAGAAAGAGGAAACTAACAACGGCTGCCACCTGAGTCCTGAGGAGGCAGGTGGTAAGAAACCGACTGCAAAAGACACGCAGCAAGACTTGGTGGCAGCAGGCACTGAGGTTTCAGTTTCTACAGTAAGACGCATACTAAACGTTGAAAGGTTCCATGCTCGAACTCCAAGACATACACCACTACTGACCCAAAGACAGAAGAAAAGTCTGCTTCAATTTGCTCAAAAACAAAACTGGAACTTTGTGGGCCTATGGATCAGCGATCAGTCTGGAGGAGGAGGAAGAATGAGGCATATGCTGAAAAGAACACCCTGCCTATAGTGAAGCATGGTGGTGGCTCAGTGATGCTCTGGGGCTGCTTCACTTCCTCTGGCACTGGAAACTTGCAGCATGTGGAGAGCAAGGTGGATTCAATTAAGTATCAGGAAATCCTGGGAGAAAATGTCATGCCATCTGTGAGTAAACTGAAAGTTGGGCATCATTGGATCTTCCAACAGGACAATGATCCCAAGCATACCTCAAAGTCCACCAAGGCTTGGTTTCAGAAGAAGTCCTTTAAGATACTAGAGTGGCCATTACAGTTGCTCATTGAAAATTTTTAGAGGGATTTGAAAAAGGCGGTTGCAGCACACAAACCCAAGAATATTAGTGAGCTGGAGGCCTTTGCCCATGAGGAGTGGGCTAAGATTCCACAGGAACGCTGCCAGAAGCTGGTGTCTGGCTATGCATCACATTTGCAGCAGGTCCTAACAGCAAAAGGGTGCTCTACTAAGTACTAAAGATGCTTGTCATGAAGGGGATGAATAATTTTGAGACTGCAATAGTCTCAAATGCAATAAAAGGGCATTTTTTGTTGAATTTGGAGAAACCACTTGTAATATTAGTTGTGTTGAGATATTAAAATTGTTTTTTGTTTTTTTTTGTAAACAGCTACTAGTTTGTACTTTTTCCCAATAAACATAATTTGGAGTAGGGGTTGTATATATGTCCATTTACAAGTCTAGTCACACAAGTCCCCTCCCTGCAGGCATTACCCAGCAAAGCATTACATCAAAGAAGCAAAGCGGCTAAAGCACAAGGCTGATGCAGAGGTCATCTTTTTATCTGGTGTACTATAAATAAATGTACTTACATGAGATGTTGTGACTAATCCAGCTGTTTTTTTTTTTTTTGTTTTTTTTTTAATAGATGGACAAACTTCGTAAAAGTTTTCACTACCTGGATGCAGCTTTGTTCTTCATTGAGAGTGGGATTGCTATGGAAAGTGATCCCCAGATCTCAATGTCTTCCTACACAATGTTTGCAGAGACGGTGGAACTGATAAAGTATGAACCTTGGGTAACATCTTACAATAAACACACACTATTCAGAAAAGAAACAAGTAATTATGAATGAAACAAGTATACTATTTTAGCTAATTTACATAATTTAAATCCGTGGGTTTAGTTTTAATGACATTCTTCTTGGTCATAGATTTGTCCTTAAGCTTACAAATTCAGGGGACACCTCTTCAGCAGAAAGTGACTTGATAGCTTTATGGTAAGACTCTAAAATGCATGTTCAGCATTTGTTTAGGTTGAATATTATCTCAAATATCTATATTTTATTCTTATTTAGTTTGAGATGCCAGGCAATCCTGCAGATGGCCATGTTTCGTCACAAACAGAAAACTGCACTTACATATTCAAAGACCCTTATAGATCACTTTAATGTAAGATTAATGATTTTAAAATTATTAAATGATATGAAAACACAACACTGAATGCATGTATCACTACAATTTATAGAACTCAAGCCAGTCAGCACCAGATCCATCAGCTTCTATAAAGTAGGTGTAATTAAGCATCTCTTTCTTCATATTCTTTCATCTAAATAACATTTGATTTATTCTGCAAATTCTCACATATACTATGACAGAGGAAAACATGCCCCTGTGTCCCCAAGCAACAACACTTTGCGTGGATCTGCTGTCATTCCTCAGGACATTGGACAAGTGGCATTAACCTATGTCAACATCACAACACTGTTCTTAAATGCCCACGACTTGTGGGAACAAGCCCATGAGTTTATCAACAAGGGCAGTGGTAAGGAACATAAAAATAAATCTTACCTTTTTGTTGTTGTACAATTAAATGTCATTACTGATATGGATTTCAGGGTTATCTGCAGAGATGGACAAAATAATGGGTCATCTGAGCCTTACTTCCACTATGAGCTCCATGGTTAGCTACGTTAGACGGGGGCTTCACTGGCTGCAGATGAACAGCCCAAAGTTAAAGTGAGCCAGTGGCCTTCTCGTCTTCATTTCATACTCTACTCTGAAGCCATCTGCTATGTTGAGCAACAAACCTTTTTAAAAATTAATTGATATTAGAATGTGCTGACACTTAAACTTTTAAAACTTGATCAAATTTGGCTTGATTCACAATGAACTGTAAGTAAATGTATTGCCATGAAATTACCTTACCAGAATTTGCCATGTTATTGCTATGATGACTAATACCAATGCCAATTATTCAAGATAATATTGTCACAAACACCATAAACATGATATGTACATTACATTTATATTACATTACATTTATATTTAATGTTTTGGCAATAATTCAGTAATTTCCTGGAAAGTTTCTGGGAAATTATTCATATCTAGTTAGATAATTAGATTTTTTTTTTAGATTACTTTGTTCTTTGTTTTAGTGTGTGGATTATTCCAATTAATGGGTTCAGTGTTTTAATTAATCAAAGCCGTATCCACTATTGTAGTATTATGCAAGAGAAAAGACTTTATTTTGATTTGTCCTAATTTGATTGATTTGTCTTGAGTACAAAAAATCTGTGACATGTGTTTCTTTAGCCCATTTAAGGTTGAATCACTACAGGAATCAAGCTACAGTTTTGCTATATATAGGTTTGATTTGCACTAACCATGAATAATATCTAAGAATACACACTGGAAAATGAATTCATGTAAGGTCAGGGGCAGACCTTGTGCACTATAAGTACAGTATCAGGAACACAGGTGGAACAGATGTAAGTTTCTGACACACCCTCTCTTTTGTGTGATAGGAGTCTGTTGAAGTAAAAGAGGAATTTTGCACTGGTCATGTCATGTTTTGCACATTAGGTAGATGCCTTTGTCATGTTTCTAAATTGTCTTTGAAGTGTGGTGGTGGTGCCTGCCACTGTCATTCTTTGGCAAAAACAAAAGATTTAGTTTTGTCTTTGCACATTTACCTGTGTGTGTGGTCACTTGAGTAGGTAAGTTACTTAGCTGCACTGTTAAGTGTTTTTTTTTTTTTTTTTTTTCCATGCATCGTTTGAAGATGTCAGCAGCGTTGTTCTGGTCTTCAGATTACTTTGTTCCATGCAGTTCTAGTTTTATATTTTAACAAGTTCTTCACAGAAATCACTTGAAAAACTACTTTTATGTCAAACCTCATATAAAAAGGGCTGACTTTCTTTTCTCACATCAATGAAGTGATATTTTATTTCATGAATGTATACACTGGTGCTTAGGAAATTGGGGGTGTTTTATTTGTAGATATTGGAATGAAGATCAGAGTTTCACAGCCAAAGAAAATGTAACTTGACTGTCCATTCATGTCATTTCTTTTTTTTTTTTTTTCTTCTCAGTTCTTGTGTTTTCCAACAGACTGATAGCAGAAAATGTATTTATGAATTTATGATAAGTTGACAAATGACATTTGTTTCTAATAATTATTTTTTAAGACGGTGTGTTTTTTGTGACATGAAGTGAGCTTTTATGTTGCCTTGAATAAGGTTGAATAAAAGGATAAATGATTATTATTTTATTCTTAATCACATTATTTTAAATAATTGTATTGCACATATTGTAAACATTACAAATCAATATACAAACAATCTGTAAAACATAACCCATATTTATCCTAAAATATATGTGTCGAAGTGTAGATCTAAGTATCCGACTCTCCTGCAAAGTTGGGGTTGTCAAATGCAGGCTGTAAAAGGAAAAGGCATTCCATAATGTTTAATATTTCAAAGCACACATCAGTAGATGGTAACTTACCACATCCACGTTTTCAGTATTTCTTGTTGGAAGGCTAAAATTGCTCAATTTATATCCCCGAATATTAATGGAATAATACAGAAGTCCCCCAATCAGGCAGGCAAATATAATGGCTCCAATTACTGCACCAGCGATAACCCCACCATCTACGCAGACAATATAAATGTAAAATAAAAAGACCAAACATAAGTATATTTTTACTACTGCACTTACTGTTGCCACCAGGGGTGCCAGTAGGATGAATATTTCCATCTGTTGCATGTACTGTAAGAAAAAAATATCATGCTATATCAAATTGTAGTGTTACAATTACTGTGAGATTACTGTGTATTGTTCAAAATGCTTAAGTCAGTTTCATTAACATGACTGAACAGAATGTGATAAATAAATAAAATAATGATAGTGATAAATAAAATAATAATGAATGATAATAGTACATAAAATGATGATAAAGTCAAGCTAATGTGATTTAAACGGCCAGATAAAAGCACTTAAAAATATACATATTTTTTAGTTCACACAGATATATTATGACATAAATCATTATAATTAGTATATCAATATAATTTCATCAGCATTCCTAACATGGGGATGTAGTAATAGTACAGGTGCAGTATTTCTTATTTTTATTGTTTGGGGTGACAGCGGGGGACGGTGGTCAAAGACAATGGTTCCCCAACCCTAAGGTCAATGGACTGATTCACTTTTGGATCATTATGTCCTTCACCCACATTGCTTTGTATGAATGTGGTGTGTGTGTGTCAGTGATTGGTGGTTGTCGGAGGGACCGATGGCACACATGGGCAGCCTCATTTCTGTTTGTCTGCCTCAGGACAGCTGTGGCTACTGTTGTAGCTTACCATCACTGTGGAGTGTGGAGTGAATGAATGTCTACAGTGTGAATGTCTACACTTTTCTGAGGCTTCGACAAGCATGTAAAGGGCTTTACAAGTATAAGGTATCATTGTTATCATTTTACATTGGTGGTGGCGGCAAGCAAATCCTCTCTTTGCTAGGCAGTTGTTGTCATTCCAGTGCCCATCAGGATACATTTCCACACATTTCTCTTCCTCATTCCCGGGGTGAAACACATTATTGGGTTCGCCCTGAGCCCAGTTGAGGAATCCCACAGATGTCAGATCAGTCCAGGCCCAGCCAACTACATTACACAAAATATATGTATAAATGATAGTAGTAAATGTCCATTTGCTAAATAGAATATACGTGGGTGGGCTTACAGTTTTGGTCTCTTGTGAGGCCAATCCAGATATTGTGCACTTTTTGGTCACCAAGGTTCCTTAAAAACTCAACATCTGCTCGGCTGTGGAGCGATACCAACTCTGACTGGCCTTTCTGGCAGTAATATCTTGAGTCTGGCCAGGAAAAACCCATTGGACGGTTGTAAACGAAGTAACAATAGCGCCCATATGGCACAAATCCATACAAACAACTTCCACTAGCAGGAGGAGGAGTAGGAGGGGGAGTCTCTGGTTGACCAAATTGAAAAATATAGTTACCACATACTGACATTTCTAATGGTTAATGTAATGATGACTGAGGTTTTACCTTTAGAAATCTTGCAGATGTAAGGCTTGGCATCATTACAGTTAGTGTCATTCCACGTTCCATGAAAGAACCGTGAAGCATGCATGCTCACACAACCCTCGCCCTCTAAGTTACTGGGTTCACCTGGCCCCCACTGTGTGAAGAAAACTGGCCATCCATCTGTCCATGCATATGAATTGTTTCCCTGCAGATCAATGCATTACATTAACAGACTTATTGCTGTGGTGGGGAGGTGACTGTGGTTTTAGTGTATGTTTCTCTTCAACTATTTAGAGTCTTTGTTTTGTTTATATACATTTACATTTTGGTGTCACTGAATGTAGAAAAAAAAAATTTAAACAAAACTAAAATGTAAGTCTATTTGTTTTTCCTACTGCCTGAAAAAATAATATTCTTCTGACTGTACCTTGCGTTTGAGTCCAATCCAGGCGTCAGCTTTTCCCTGCAGCACGACCCCAGCCACAAAGGCCTGGTCATAGCTCATGTCGATGCTGGCCAGGTTCCCCCCTGCCTGTGCACATGCTGTCTGAGCTGCATCCCAGGTGGCTGCTTCTTCCACCAGTTTGTAGCAATTTAGGTACCAAGAGATGTACCCAGCTGGACATGGGCTCGGTGTTGGGGGAGGAGGGTCGATGCTGCTTGCTAAAGGGAGCAACAAATGAATAGCAATTGTGATAAATAAGACATTTTAGGTGGAGATGGTTGAATTGTTACTAACATTTCTTTCTGGAACAGACAAAACTCTGATCCTTGTGACAGGCATCATCATTCCACCTTCCAGTAACTAGATGGTTATGAGTCATTGCTACACAGTGCTCCTGTTGAGTATATTATTACACATTTAAATTAGTTTAGAAATCTCATATGAGAACATTTTACATAAAACAACATCTAATCATTTTGAAGATTTATTAGTTCTCACCGCTCCTCCTGCATTATTGGGCTCTTTTTCATTCCAGTTTGTGTACAGAACAGGGCTAACCCCATCACTCCAGGCATACTGATTTTCTACCAGAAGATCGGACAGGCCAATCCATGTGGGGTGCTGCAAATCCCTCAGGTAACTAGATACAAAGTCTAGAGGACAGAATTTCAAATATACTCTGCACCTTTATTGTCATGAAACCCAAGCCACTTCAGTATACAGACCATTCTCATATTGACTGTCGATCACTGCCAGCTCTCCTCCTTGCTCTTTGCACCAACTTCGTGCATAGGACCAATTGGCTTGAATGTCATTCTTTTTGCCTTTGAATAAAAAGCACTTGTTGTTGAAGCGTAGCCAACCTGGAAATTATTATTATTGTTATTGTTGTTTTTGTTATTATTGTTGTTGTTGTTGTAAATAATACACTGAAATTCTAAAACAACATAGTTTAGCAGTGCAGTATTTACTGTAGAAAAATCACCTGCTGGACAATTGCCTTCCCAGGGCTGTGTCGGTGGGGGAGGAGTGTGATGACTTCCAGGGAACTTCTTACAGACGTACCCTCCCATTCGACCGCAATTGACATCATTCCACCCACCTGTGCAGCAAACATATTAATAGTACTATTTTTTATTTATTCTTTATTTATTATTTTTACAATATATGAAGTACTATGTAGAAGACAGATACCCTGGTGCCTGTTCATTTGAACACATTGTTCTTCCCCATTTGCATTGTTTGGTTCTCCAGGAGACCAGTGGGTATATGTCATTGGGGAAAAGTCCACCCACCTGTTGAAAGAAGAGACATTTGATTACACATACAGCAGAAAACACTAAGTGGAAAGAAAAAAAACAACAAAAAAAAACAAAAAAAACAGGGCTTACATATACTGTCCATTTGTAATACCAAACATTCTCATTCCAATCCAAGCTGCAGCAACATTTCCCGTACCAACCTGTAACATGAATTAAATGCTCTTTACCAAATGGCACACACACACACACACACACACACACACACACACACACACACACACACACACACACACACACACACACACACACACACACACACACACACACACACACACACACACACACACACACACACACACACACACACACACACACACACACACACATTACCATAGTGTTCACATAAGCCTGTTCATCCTTGCTAAGTATTGAAACCAAAAGTGCCTTCTCAGCATAGCAGCGTAGCATAGCAGTGTGGAAGTCCACTACATCAGTATCATTGTAGTAGTAACAAATGTTGTTGTTCTTCCTCCATCCAGGGTTTGTGCCACACTCAGGGGCTGTGCATATCATAATATTTACACAAATAAAAGATTTTTATATTGAGTTAAAAAGATGCATGCAGAGAGTTGACAGATTGAATGTGATATGAGTGTACCTGGTACTGGAGAAGGAGGTGCTGGTGGTAAAATGGGCGTCTTTCCTTTAGCAATCATGCAGATCCAGTCCTGGTGGGCATCGCAGTTCAGGTCATTCCACCAGGAATAGGTCCCATTGGTGCTGCTCACCATCTCCACACAGTCCTCCCGGCCCTCGTGGTTATTAGGCTCTCCATGACCCCAGTTAGTGTGGGACAGAGGAGAGCCATCACTCCAAGAGTAGCCTAGTTTGTGTGCAGGTATTAAAATAATGAACATTAAACTCCATTAATAGTTTGATAATGTTTTTTAGCTTTCAAATGTACCTCCTTCTGTGGGGTTGCTCTTGAGACCTATCCACTTGCTGGTGCCTTTGCTGTACGTAGATAGAAACTCCTCCTCTTCCTGATTGTGGATGCTGACTAAATTCGCTCCTCTTGAAACACAGTCTTCATATGCTGCTTCCCAGCTCTTCTTTTGGGACCATTCAACATTATGGAACAACTTAAAAATAAGAGAAATAAATATCATTGCAGGGAATAAGAAATGTTTGTAAATTTGTAGAAATGTTTCTTCTAAATGAGTATGTCCAAATGTAATGTGTATGCTAAGATAAGAGGGTTAAAGTTTTGAATGGAGGTGGGTGGTCCCTTTCCTTAAAAATTTTGCACTTAGCAGAGTAGTTTTCACACACTGAACTTTTACTCCTACCTGATTCATACATTTTACAATATAACTGTACTCTTACTCTTACTTTACAAGTAACAAAAGCTTTATTGTTGACAGTATGAAACACTTAATGCTTTGTGTTTTTTGTTCTGCTCATCAAATGTAATTTAGTTTTTAGTAGTTTCACTAAATACCTTTGAACTCTTACTAGAGAAATAACTTGAACTACTTTGTTGTTCTTCTTGAGTACTGTAATATGATTTGGAAGAAACTGTATTCTTACTCGAGTACTGTAATTTGAAGGACGTATACTAGATCTGCATTATATCTTGTGAAACATATTTTATTTTAATGTAATTAGACTCAGAAGAATCCTAATACTTTTAAAACAATGCCACTGAGCGAGGTGAGAAATTACAATCATGATTACATTTATTTAAAAAAGTAAACTGTCATACGTTTATTAGCTGTGTAACATACCTGAAGATGCCAGGTGTATAAGTACCTTGTAACAGTTTCTAAAGTGGGGCAGAGCAGTCCAGCCGTCTGCACAGCCCTGAGAAGGTGGAGGTGTTGGGGCCTTGGTGGGTGGAGAGATATCAGGTCGTGCTTTCTCACAAATAAAAGCAAATGTTTCTGAGCACTGTTTATCATCCCAAAAGCCACCAATCTGACCCGATGTCATGGCCACACAAGTACCATCTCCATTATCTACAGAATGTAAGATCGCAATATTGTACTGTTTGAATTTGAAAACATCCTGTCAGACAGTCTTAACCTGTTAACCTGGAATATTAAACATGTACCTGGTTGGTTTCTGTCCCAGTGGGTAAAAGTGAGGGGTGCTCCATTGTCCCAAATGTAATCCACTCCACCTGTAACTCCACCTCGTGCTCGAAGACCAATCCACCAGAAGCCATTCTTACCTGAGAGCATTACAGTGAAGTGGGACTGCTCGTAACTGTCAAAAAAACCCCACACAATTTATTTATTATTGCATAATAACTGATTGCATTCTCAGTGAAATCTATAGAAGGATTTCTAGTAACCTCCTTCTAGTAAAGGAGTTCCCTACTGACCACCAGAGGGCAGTGTTGAAACCACTGAACCATTGCTTTCCGGGCTTCCACTGATTTCACTACCATTATGTAGTGGTCAGTAGGTGTAAGGATGAAATAGAACTGTAGTTATATTTGAAACTTTCATTATACACCATTTATAATTCATTTTACTTGTTGTACACTGTTATGTCTAAACTCACATGTCTCCAACATGCACCAAGTAGCTGTCCTGATCTTTACAAAATGCTTTAGCATCTGTCCAGCTTCTAGCTGTTTCCTCCATCCAGTAGCAGGAGTAACCATATGCATTCCAGCCCTGAAATTATATAGGCATTTGAGATTAATACTCAGTTAGTCAGTATGTCAAAGACATACTGTATGCAAGCAGCTCTGTACCTGAGGACATCCGTATACTGTGGGTTGGGCCGACGGCGCAGGGTAATGTGCTTTGGGCATTTTGCAAATGTAAGTATTAAGCTCCATGCAAGAAACATCATTCCATCGACCAGTCTATGTATGGAATTAAGATATGTTAGAAATGCTATAACAAATGAACTGAAGAAATAAATAAGAAAGTTGCCAGATGACTCACAGTCTGTAAAATTTCAACACAGTCATCACTAAAGCCTTCATGGTTATTTGGTTCCCCTGGAGCCCAGTAGGTAAAAGTGACTAAATGTTTGTCAGACCAGGTGAAGTAACCAGAATAATGGAGGTCATTCAGCCCTGTCCACACATTGCTGGTCTCTGTAAGGAAAATGTGTATTTTGTATGTATATAATGTATATTTTTAAAAAAGCACCTGCCTCATAATGTTCATAATTTAAAGACGATGAATACCTATTGAGCCTTACCCAGATAGAGGTAGCTTTCCAACCAACTCTGCTCCGTCATTGAGAGGATGGATACAAGTTCAGCCCCCACTTTCCGGCAGCTGTCCTGAGCTGCATGCCAGGTCTTTTTGTCTGCATAAGGTTTGTAGCAAAAATCTCCAAATTCATACCAATCTATTCCTGGACACCTTACATCTGGAACAAATGCAATAAAAATTATGCACATCTACAATGTAGCAGGATACACACCAAACCCAACCTACCTCCGTCAGCAAACATGTAAGAGACTGCATAGTTGCCATTATATCTGCAAAGACAGGCAGTGTTTAATTATATCTGCAAAGACAGATATATCATTATATCTGCAAAGACAGGCAGTGTTTAATTATAATATATATATATATATATATATATATATATATATATATATATATATATATATATATATATATATATATATATATATATATATATATATATATATATAAATTAAATAATAATAAAAATTACTTACTGTCGAGAGGTAATGCCATTTTTGGTTGAACCTGGGTAAAAACTTTGTCCTGGAGCTTTCAGTAAAGTGCAGTCTCCCCCAATGTCATCAACTATCACTCCAGCGTGTATGGCTGCTGCACAGATATTTGAGTCCTGAAAGATCAATACAGAAGTGTTAATAGTAATTATAACATATATAACATATGCAGTTAACTGATTTATTATGTATAGACATGGGTACATACGCCACGATATACTGAAGTACCATAAACCTGGTAGTCAGCCTTTGCACAGGCAGCAGGACAATGCACGCTAAAAGAAAAGTCAGCTTGATAGTGTGAGTGCTTTCATACAAAACAAAACAACAAAAAAACATTCCTCTTACGTAATTTTTTCACTGGCAGAATTAAAGTTGGGCTTGCTGGCACAGGTAATTGCATCTGTTGAAAAGACGAAAGTTTGAAATACCTCAAACATTGTCCTTAGATTAGGAATATACTATTTGCTTACAATCAGGTGTGCATCCTAAGACATCAAAGCGAAGGCCTGCTTTCCCGCTATATTCAAGTGGCCAGATGCGAATGTATTGTGCTGACACTGGAGACCCCAGAAGCTGAGTGTCAGGCGTATTTCTGTCTGTAGAGCCTGGGAAGAACTAAAAGCAGGACCAACATTTCAAAGTAAACAGTACATGTTCAATAGGCCAGTCTGTTCATATAGTCATACCTCTCCATCTGCAGTGTAGTCTTTCCAGATCACTTCATCCACACTGTGCTGTACTTTAAACTTGGTGACCCAGTAGTCATTTTGGGGGCAACCCTGAATTACAATCCCAGTCACTTTTTTTGTCTGCCCCAGATTAACTTGAATCCAACTTGAAGATGCTGTAGGCAACACGTGAAATAGCTAAATATTACTATGAAAAATACAGTAAATATGACATTTAGGGACACAACATACGAACTCCTGAAGGCATCCAACAAGAGTTTCCATTCAAGCGAGCTTTATCAGGAGTATTCAAACCCAGAGAGGTGGATGCTGAAAGCTGGGCATTTGTAATATTGCCATCTTCAACACCAAGGCCATGTAGGCACACTATAAATAAGCATTCAAATTGATTTTAATACTTGGTTTGAATTACTTGGTGACTACAGAAATGAAGTCCTAACACTGACCTTTCTGTTCACAGCTGTATGTGATTTCCAGATATTTGGAAACTGTGGGACAGGGATCATCAGTGACATGGGCCTGTGCAAAGCAGAACTGGCGGTTGTCACAATACTTCCTATAGGTAGGTAGCACGCCCTCCACAGTGCAAGTGCCTGCAAACAAGCTTTGTATAGTTAAACACTGAAGTTACACACAAAAAAGGAATAGAAAAAAGTTGATCACCATCAGAAGAACCCAGATGAGGACAAATATCACTGCTCTTTCGTCCAAAAAAGGCTGACTGGATGTTAATAACACTCTCAAAAGGACAGTGTAGAACAGCAGGGAAATCTTGGCAAACGACAGATGTTATAAAACCTAAAACCAAACATAATATTTAAAAAATATCTAATCCACGTTTATTGCAATATATACTACAAGGAATACTTGAAGATCAATTTGGGTTTCTTAACAAATAAAGATAACTGGTTGAGGACAGATAAAAAAATCTCATAATTTTTCTATCCCTATACATTATGAATTAGCCATTGTATTTATCTTAAATGTAAGAAATGACATATATAAATACTACAAATAGTAAATATTCAGTACCATCATGGGGTGGAGGAGATATTCTTCCTAAAGGAAAACAACATCAGTGGATCTGTATTTTTTGATTGTGTTTATATAATTGTTTAAAAGACACTTCACCTGTCTTCTTGCATATGTATCCTCTTTTGTTGTCACAGTTATCGTCATTCCAGTAGCCATTGTTTATAAGAATAGACAAGCAGTCCTCTCCATAATAGTCATCTGGGTTGCCTGGTTCAAACCAAATAACATAATACAATGTTGATATATTTATTACAAACAGACTGCATTTTTATTATTATTATAAATTTTTTTTAATGAACCTGTATTCCACCGAATGTAATTGAATGGTGAGCCGTCAGTCCACTCCCAGCCCCCTTCAGTGATAGAGTCATGACCGCCCATCCACAGGGAAATCCCAGTTGGACTTTGCTGGACAATACCTAAGAAAATAAAATCTAATGAAGAAGCAAGCAAAACTTTGTCTCTCAAACTGTGTCTAATGCAAATATACAAATATACACAACAATGTTTCTCCAAGCTTAGGACTAAAAACTTACAAACTAATTCATTTATGCAGAGTATTTGTAATAATAGTGTATGTTTGAAACACACCCTGTGTAAAGCTCTGTTCTACAGGATCTGTGATACTGATGAGGTCTGCTCCCTGGTTTAAACAGTCAGCTCGAGCATCTGTCCATTTCCTCATAGATAGGAAATTAAACAAGTAGCAGAAGTCATTAAGAGGGCTGGGCATCCAAGAGCCACACTTCTCATTCCATCCTAAAAAAGAAAAAACAACTCACTCTTATGTTCCCATGAAACCATATTACACTTGAGATCAAACTAACCTGGTCCAGTCGTTGGAGGCTGTGGAGGTGGTCCTTGTCCTTTTGCTAATGTTTATAAAATGTATGTCAATAAACCAAAACAGACAATTAATAAATGAACCAGGGCAAAAGGAGGACCTTTTTTGCAGATAAACTCTTTAGTGGCTGTACAGAAGTCATCGTTGAGCATCCCAGGCTCATTGTCATTCATTCCTCTAATGTTCACACAGTCCTCATTATTCTGCCAGTTGTCTGGTTGATTTGGGCCCCAAGGGAGAAAATCCTGAGTCATAAGACAAACTTAAGCCACATTTATGTTGTTTAATAATAAAAGAGACACAATGAATTTAATAAGTGACTTACAGATGGAGTTCCATCAGTGTAAACAAAGTGGTTTTCAATATTGATGTCATTGAGGCCAGTCCAGGCTTCTCCTGGCATATGAGCTGTATAAAACATAGTGTCAGGTGTATAAGTAACAAGCACCATAAAAACTGCTCTGCACACTTCAAGAGTATTTTGTTCATACCTGTTATAAAACTTAGCTCCTCCTCTGAGTGGATGCTGACCAGATGGGCCTGCTCCTTGGCACAATGAGCTTCAGCGTCATGCCAGTTCTTCACTTCCTCTGTCTCAAACTGATAGCAGAAGTTCCCATACAACAGATACCCAGCATCACAGTGTGAATCTAAAGAACAAGAAAACATCCAGTTAAAACAGATTTACGTTAACTCCAAATATGAACAATAACACAGTACCAGGAGGTGATGGTGGTTTGGGGTTCTGGCCACCAGTCATCTCACAAATGTAGCCCAGGCTTTTGAAGCAGTTAGTTGTTTCCCATTTGCCGTCGTAGTTCCCTACAATGAAAAGTTGTGGATTTTTAAAAAAGTTTTTCTTTATAATGCCAAAAAACAACTAGCACATAACTAAGGGTTGGTAATTTCAAACCTGTGTATATTTGGCCACAGTCCCAAAAGTGTTCAGTGTTTTTAGGGAAACCAGGAGCAAAGTTTGAGAAGTCAAAAGCATTTTTATCCACCCATTTAAATTCTCCATCTTGATACATGTCTGTTTGATAATAAATTAATATATCATTAGTTACTATTTAGTCTCGTCATTAGATGATTTTATTATTTTAGGACACCTGATAGACCAATCCAAATGTCTGGAATGTCCACATGGTGGAAGTCTGGGAGTTTTCCATTGATAAAGTACTGTTCCTCTTGGCTAAAACAGAAATTGGACATAATATTACCAGTCTATATTATATTATATGATAAAAGGACAAGGACTCCCTTGAAAACTAGACAAGCCTTTCGATGGGCTCAAGTAAATACACTATTACAATATTATAAGTTACCTGTTTATAATAAGCAAGTGGGACCCCATGTCAGAGCATTTTGTGAATGCATCATGCCAGGTTGTCAGAAGGTTGATGTTACTGACCAACCAGTAACAGCTTCCATTGAAACTCAGCCAGCCGGAAGGACAGAGTGCTGTCGACAAAGAAATATGAATCCAATATCAACAAAACGATGTTCTGAAAATGAAAATGGCTAAAGTGCTTACTATTCAGGGGTCGTTTGCACATGTACGGACGCTCATACCGACATAAATGTGACCTCCATTTCCCATATTGCTCTGATGGATCTTTGATGATGGCCGCACATGAACCTACTTGAGGATCTCTACAAAGAAGACACCTTTTTCAATGCTTCTATTTTCTTCTATATTATATTTAAATTAGATATGTTTACTTACGGAGAAGGTTCGTTCTCACCCCAATTTTGAAATGACAGTGCTTGAGCATCAGACCAGGCAAACTGTGTGTTTCCTGCTTCAACTTGACATGAGATCTTGTTGCACTTCTGAAAACCAACACAAAGAAATGTGATATAAACATATTAAACACAAATAAATAAACTACAGTACCCCTCTCACCAGGGTAGACAGTCCGATCCAGAGATCAGTATAGGAGGAGTCCAGTTTTCCCACTATATACTGCTCTTCCTCTGAAGACATAATGGACACCAGATCAGACCCATCCTCCAAACAGTCATGTCTGGCCTCTGCCCAGCTCTTTCTTGTGTCAGCTTTTAGCTTGTAGCAGTAAGAGCCATATGAGAACCACCCACTGGCCAGGTCACACCGTGGGATAGGGTTTTCTGAAAAGCAAGGATGCATGTGATGAAAAAAACAATCAAAAAGGCTACAATTATAATGGGAACATGAATGTTGTATAAAAATGCATTTAAAAATTAAATCATTACTTAAAATTAAGTTTTTTGTCTACCTTCAATATATTTACAAATATATTTCCTCTTGACATCACAGTTCTCATCATTCCACTGCCCGTTACTATATCCCACAACTTGGCCACAATTCTCATTGTCATTCCAGTTGTCAGGCTGGCCCTGCATCCAGTATCTACAACAAGATCACTTTGAGTCTAACTTCAAAGTTAATGCCAGTTAAGCTTATGGTTGTAGACTTACGATAGGTATTGAATAAAAGTAGTGCCATCAGTCCACTCCCACACACCTTCTGTGATCTGATCAGTTAGGCCGATCCAGTAGATCTCAGAGGCCAGTTGTGTCCTTAGCCAAAGCTAAGAAAACAAAAGAACATTAAACAACATTTATTTAGCTTCACCCTTTCTGTTTGGGATTTAAAAAAACAACCAATCCCACCGCGATCTGGCAAATTTATACTTGAATAGCGTGTCCAGTAACTTGGATAAGGTTGACAGACTTTGGATAAGGTTGACAGACTATGGCACTGTCACTCTGTAGTACAAATATAATAATATGCAAGACATTTTGCTGATATTTAATGATAGTCTCACCCTTTCATGGATGTCCTGAATGCTCACGAGGTGGGAGTGCTGCCGCTGACAGATATTATTAGCCTCTGCCCATGACTTTGTATCAGTGGAAAAGAAGTAACATTTACTCTCATACTCCCTCCAGCCTGTGCGACATACACTATTGGCTGAAAAAAATAAAATGTATTATGGGCCATACAAGTTAAGAAAATATGCTAAAATGTCTTTATAAACAATAAACAATAAATGAAGAAATTATCTGACAAAATATGTTGAATTCCACAAACAAATATGTCATTCTCATTGTTCTCATTATTAATTTGAGAACATTTAGGACAATTATCATTAAAATAGTCTTAAAACACTTGGTGATGTGTGACTTTAACAAGCTCAGAACTCTTTATTGAACTTTATTAGAAACCCCTACAGCAAAAATCTTCATAGAACCACTTAAATAAACAATCTATTAAATTACATTAGGGCATGCATGGTATTGTAATGCAATAAAACAAAATACTATCAGCATTATGGCCACAACTAAATAAAGAACATAATTAATAGTGAGACCTACCACTGGCCAAAAGAGCAGCAAGGCTTAACAGTTGCAGAATAGTTTTCCTGTTCATTTTTACTCTTCAGCGAAAGAGGCTCCTCAGCACATTCTACATTTACATTTGTTATTTTGCTCCAGCCTAGCACAAAGTAGGATGCTGAATAAAAAAGTAATGGTGCGGAGAAATAGCAGTAGCAGATCATAGGAAGAGAACAAACTGAGACAGTAACTAAGGTGAGTCTGGTCCCAAGTCCTCTAACTTCTGAGCATCAGCTGCTGCGTTCAGCCACTTTTCAGCATCTGTCCAGAGTCCAGAACCTGTAAAACACTGATGACTCAATTGACCTGGATTATTGGACAAAGGATTGTTACTAAACAGGTGCTTTAAATTGTTAAAAGGACTTTTTATAATGTTAATGATAATTTTACATGTGAATTAATACAGAAATTATATAGTAGACCAGTCACAATAATTGCTACTGTGATTATCACTCAGTATAAGATAGATGGACAATATTTTTCAAGCTCAATATTCATCACATGTACCTTTTCTTCACACTAGTGGGGACATTTTTCTTCATTTTATTTAGTATTAGGCCTATAATACAACATTTGAGTTGTAGGTGGTTTAATTATTTATGTAACAAGTTCTAGATACTATATCTAATTACGAGTGTTTCATTGTACTATTTATAATATAAATAGTACAATGCTGTCCATATTATGTTTCATGTGATTTGCTTTGAAAAAGTTTTACTGGGATTATCCTGCTTTAAGGGTATTGCAGAAGTAGTATAAATTAATCTCAATATTATCATATTTTCAGATTAAATATATGGCATGTTTGTTATCTTTGCAGGCCTATTACAATTACTTTTATTGTAATGCAAAAGAAGAAAAAGGATTTCCCTAAAGAACCTTAACTTTAAAATAAGTATTACATACATTCAAACTTTGAACAGTGTAATGTGTTTTCATAATTTACAAATAACTAGTATTATGTTATAACAGATGCATTTTTTATGGGTTGAAATGACTACATTACCAAAGTTCAAATTTGCTCTAGTAAAACATGTCAAATGCCAATAAAAGTTTCTCATTGCTGCGTTATATTAGGGCCTACCAAAACCATAAAAGCAGGTCTGAAACTGATGTATTACTGTATAATGACAGCTAAATGGCTGCTTTAAAAGCTTCTGCATCTGGGTTAACTCAAAGTGAAGAGTTTTGGGTTGTAAATAACTACATGTGATCTGAGAAGGTTTGGGGTAACAGAAATGTAAACTAGTGAACATCTTATAAATTACTTTATTATACAATACGATGTAAATGACAAAATGTGGAAGCAGTCAAGGGAAAGAATAAGTATATGTTATAGATACAATATAAAACAGCAACAATCTACAAAACTCTGTTTTGCATCAAGATTAGTCTAGTTGTAAAATGAGATACGTAATATTTTGTGTGCAATTCACATATTTATCTCACTATATAAACTCCAAATACCATTTAGTTTAAGCAGTTAGTAAATGCAAATCATCACAATGTGACAAAATTACATCATCAGTTTAGTTTTCTATTTAAGACAAAAATATACTCAGAGGTCACATCTACATTTTCTAGAAAAATAGTGCACACTGCATGAATATGAATATTAAAGACTATGACATACACCAATTATATACAAAGAGTCTGTTATTAAAATAGAACAGAAGCACTGGCAGAGATATCAAAAAGCAGTCTGATTAATATTGAAGACAGCCCAACTATCATCCCACACAAGTCTGTATGAAGAACTCTTCTGGATTGGGTTTGAACAGTGCCACATATATTGCTTTATTCAGTCCTTTACTGCACAATCATTATGCCTCTTAATGTAAAATGAAATGACAGCAGTTTGAATAAACTTTCTGTTTAACAGACAGAATAATGATTCCATCAAAATGATGGCCTAAATGTAACAAAATCCTCAAGGCCAATAAAAACAAAAAAACAAAAAATAAATTATTGAGGCAATATATGGCTAAACATGTTATAAAATGTACACATGCACCTAAAACTGTAAAATTGTCGTGTTGAATTTTCAGCATGGGGCATTCTGAGACAGAGCAATTTGTATATTAACATTTTAACATTACATTTGCCTTTCCCTCAAGTCAAAATGATGTATAGCAGCCACGCAGGACAAATACAGTACATAAAATAGTTCACAACAGATTGTAAAATACCACCAGCAGCAGTTTGGGATGCATTTACATGATATACAATTCCTTTTTCTGTATGTATATGTAAGAGCATGTTCACAAACAGGCCTTTAGCGTAAATAGTCCCTCTGTGCTGTGTGGCTTGTGCTTGTGCAAGGGTTTGATGTGACAGCTGTGCTTCACCTGGGGGATTCTCACATGCAGTTGACCACATTGCTGGAGCCCTGGCCCACATCCCTGATCTGACTCACATGAGAGGAACATACTGCCACCCCCGCTCCAGCTCGACAGTGAGACACCGAGCCCACCAGTTCCCATCTAGACACAAAAGGCACTTTCAGTCACAGTTTAGATTCTTTCATATTATTCATCATTTATCTCCTAACCTGTTCATCCGGGGTTCAAATGCCTCTACTGTGTTCAGGTAGATGTTGCCGTTGTGCCCTCCCACCGCGAACACCCTTCCCATCACAGTAGCAACTCCAACACCTCCCCGAGGAGTGGTTAGCTCAGACACAAACTCCCAGCGGTGCATTCGAGGGTCAAAGCGTTCAACAGAACTTAGAGGTGAATTATCATCAAATCCACCTTAGCAAATAAAAGAAAGGATATCTTTACATTTATGGAGATATGGCATTTTAGGTAAAGCATCTTGCAATGTAACACCAGTTATGAATCATGTACATTATCAAAATTATAATAAAACATTTAAATAAAAATAGCTTAAAATATTTTCCTTTAGTTTAGTGAATTTACAATAATACTGGTAAGTATTCAAGTTTTAAAGCAAGTGCTGTAATGCAGCATCATAAACAACATTGCAACTTAATAGATACAACAAGATTAACACTGAATGACTGGACAGTTTCAGCTCTGTAATAAAAAAAATAGTAACCTGACATCTACAAACCGAACTTTTCTCCTGATCAGCAGTTTTATACAACTTACCTACTACATAAAGACATCCATTAAGTTTGCTAACTCCATTTCCGGCTCGCCTTTGGCCCATCTCACTCACTGCAGACCACTTATTGAGGTGGGGATCAAATCGCTCCACACTGGAAAGTGACGCCACACCGTCATTGCCCCCAACTGCATAGACATAGCTCTATGGAGGTGGCAAAAGGCACAGGGTTACATAAAGCAGTTGTACTAAATAGCCCAGTGACAAAGTTCAGTCTTACCCCTAAAGCCACAGAGCCCACTCCACCACGAGGGGTATTCATGGGAGCCACAGAACTCCAGCAATCACTCTCAATGTCATATCGCTCCACGTCGTTGAAACAAGAATTGTCGTTCAAACCCCCAATAGCATAGATGGGACCGCCAAGTGCTGCCAGTGCAATACCTCTCCTGCACAACACAGTCAACAGGTGCTCAGGGTGCTATGTGCGAAAAGTCAAACATCTTTGGCTACACTCTGATACTGTACCTCTTGGTATTCATAGAGGCTTTCATCATCCACTTATTGGTGAGTGGGTCAAACACCTCCATGTTTCCTAAATGTTCATTACCATCATGGCCACCAACAGCATAAACCTTGCCTAGAAAGTAAAAATTAATGACAGACAAAAATTTTATTTATGTGATTTTTTTATAACCTTAATCAACTTACCTCCTACAGAAATTACCCCGACATGACGCCGCCTGCTGTTCATCTCTGGACCAAAAAACCAACTGTTCTTCGTAATAGAGTAACATTCAATGCTGCGAAATGGATCACCAGAACCTCCTCTACCTCCAACACAGAACAAAACGCCTGAGGAGTGCAAAACAATGCCATTTTAGGAATTTATAGGAAGTTAAATAACTTTAATTGATTAACAAAATACTGATTGTGTAATTGTGTCCAGATATATGTAAAAACAACCTGCAGTGTGCTTCCGTGGCACAGTGCGTACAGAGTATTCAAAGTCTGGCACCACATTGTTGCTCATGTGGAGGTGGTAGTTCCTTGCTTCATCCAAAAGATCCCGACAGCTTAGGTTACCTTTGATCATTTCATCCTTGGCCACAGTTCCTGTTAGAAACTCCACAGAGAGCAATGGCAGGCGCACCTAAAAGACATGAAAACACAGAGGTTGTAAAATTGGTTACATATGTAACAAGTTCCTAGATAAACTATATTTATGGGCTAATAAAGACAAGAAAACACATACAACCTCTTGTCTTACTGACCTGAGACATAATCTGGTCCAGCCAGGCCTCGTGATGTTGTGGGTTGGCTTTAAGCCACTTGACAGCTGCATTGTATACCTGTGTCTCTGAGTGGATATTTAGATCATTGGAGGAGAGAAGAGTGCGCAAGTGCTGGGGCGAAACAGAAATAAAGTCCTCACACTCCACCACCTCTTTAAAATGCTCACATGCATAGCGGTCAGCCATATCCATCAAGTCCACACGGTTGTGGCTTTCAGCAAAGGTGCGCACTGCAAGGCAGTTTGTAGGATGGAAATGAGCCTTCATGTACTCGCAACACGCTCGTGCAACTAACTCCACCTGTCAGGAAAATGACTGTTAGTAACTAATTATGATTACTAAGTATTTCAAATTTCAATACTACCTACTACAAAACCTAAAGTGTAATGGAATGTTTTCAATATACAAATAATAATGAAATATAAAGGAGGCAACATTTAGCCATGAGGACTTTAAGTAACTCACATGAAGTATACATGCTGCATACAGCAGTGGTTGCACATTGTCCACTGTTAAAGTCAGCTTGGAGGAATAGGCAAAATGTACAAGGTCCTGAATGGCGTCACCATCAAAATCTTTTATTTCTATCAGGTCCTGCTTCGCCTCAGACATCTCCGACAAGAACATGGCTCTGAAGTTAAAAGAAAAATCCAAACATGATTGCATTAAA